TGCAAGTTTAGTCATACCTCTGTGTCACACCATGGGATTCAGATTGTGATTATTACCTCCGCCAAGGAGGTTATGTTTTGACCGGCGTTGGTCTGTTTGTCTGTTTGTTTGTCTGCAAAATAACTCAAAAAGTTATGAACGGATTTTGATGAAATTTTCAGGAAAGGTGGATAATGGGACAAGGCACTGATGATAAAATTTTGGTGGTGATCGGTTGAAGCAAAGTGGATAAAATAATAAATAAAGTCTATGGTCTTACAGCCTCAGCAGCAATTCCAATTTCTAAAGATGGTGAAAATAGCACCATCTGGTGGTCGGAAAGCACGTCTTGTTCTACTTGCTAAATGTTGTTGTAATTCTAAAGTTGAAATTAATGTTCTGTGTTGGAAAAAAAGAAAGTGAAAAATAAAAAAAAAACATTATATTCTGTGTTGGTACAAAATAAAAACGAAATAAATACGCCACAGTGTCTCCATGGTGAAGGCATATATAACCTAATAATGATAGTGATGCAAATAACCTAATTGTGATGCAGGCTGCAAAATCTGATGCAGAGGGGGAGGGAATATCACCTACTTGGCAGAGGTCTGCACTCTCTGAGTGCTTTTCTAGTTTTCACTGATGTAGTTGAACTGCTTATTGTAAACAGTTTTCCTTCATTCATTCATTTTCTGAAACTGCTTATCCAGTTACAAGGTGACAGGCGACTGGAGCCCATCCCAGCTGACAATGGACGAGACTAGATTTACTTACTAAGCTGTTAAGATGTAGTTTACCTGCTTTTCATTGTGGAGTGACTGGTGCTTCACTAAACTACAGTTTGGATGTAGTTTCCACACTACATATTGCTTTATTGAATAATGCATTGAAATGACATTGTGAGTTCTGAGCACTGCCAGGTCTAAAAGTTGATCAAAGATAGTGATAATGGGATTGCTTACCGCCAGCTAGTTGGAAGGCAGAGCTTAAAATGTCAAGGGAGCACACGAAGAGGTACAGGAGCAGGAAGAGAAGAGGGATTTTGCAGAGAGCAGATATCACAGTTTTCACTCGTTGTGTTCCAGCTGGACTTTCCATGGTCAGATCCTGTTTGGCTCAATAATGTCATATTTTTATAAGCAGCAGCAGAATATATAAATACAGTAGTAACGTATATAGTGACAGTAGTGGTGGAAATAGTTGCGATAGCTTTTTGTATTGTCATTTGAAGATTAATACTACTACTGGAGAATACTCTAGTTATACACTGTATTGTGATTTTATTAACATTACAAATTGCACTCACTATGAAAAATACAGCGACCCAAACACACATGAAATAGAGCAAAATACTTTAAATTAGCACTGATATAAGCACATGCAGTAGTTGGTACAAATACTACTGTTCAACATACCTTGGGTTTTGATGAAATGGTACCTCTGGGTCAAAAAGTGAACGCTGACTTAAATTGAAGCTGATAGCAAGAAATAGAGAAACACAAATATAGGGAAATGTTTTGAGTGAAAATATGAGGACAAAAGATTGTTTTTGCCTCATACGCTTCTAATATATAATTTAAAAAACAGGAAAACAGCAGCAAAATGAGACATGGAGACAAGAAAGAGAAGGAAGAGAAAAGAGAAAAGGCAGAAAAAGAAAGGGAGGTGCTACCGTGTCGTGTAGGTTAACTCTGTTAGTGGAGCATGAAGGACTGATGGTATAATGAACAGCTTAGACTCATTCCTTTTTTTTCTGTTAATCCCTCTTTGTCTTCATCTGTAAGCTATCTGTGCACACCTTAGTGTTAGGCCACACTGCCATATGCATGTATTACAAGGATTAAGTCGACTACTGCACAGAAAAGTAAAATGGCAACACCTAGACGCAGACCTGGGCTGGTTATAGTCATGTTTGTTGATTGAAGCATCACCACTACTTTTTTCAAATTGCATCCCAAGATTGAGTAACAGTATTTCGTCAAGTTTTTTGTTTTGTTTTTTCAGATGTGGACACTTGTGAGGTACTGTCATGGCCCTAATGTGTGTGCTCACATCAGGGTTTGGAAGTGTTGAGGCTGTCCCATTTTGCCCTTGTTTCCTGCAAAGATAATAAGACTTTACTTCTTTATAATAAAAAAAATATACATGCAGATATTCTAACAATTTCCCATGGCCTAATACTACAGACTAGTCTTTTTGTGTAACCATCCCAACCAGTCTGTCTCTATGTTGAATACTGAGGCAGGTTCATCTCAGAGTCTCCTCAGTGGTTGCTCTCTCAGGGAAGAGTTGAGGAGGCTGAGGCCATAGTGAGACAGGCGGCTAAGATGAACAAAGTGGAGGCTCTACAGATCATCTTTGAGGATTACAGGGTAAGTTGGACCTGATATAAAGGCACAAACACATTACAAGATATCTTCGTAATGCACTTCCACTGTAAGCGACGGGGGACAAAATCCACTTGAAAAAGTGGTCTTAAAAAAAAATTAACAAATTTCACAGATTGTATGACGGCTCGTTATTTTAAATGACTTACAGTAAGTCAAAGCTGCCCTGAAAGAAAAAAATCACAGCGAGTTGGCAATGAGGTTTTGTATCTTGATTAAATGAATACACCAAGCAAAACATGACTTAATGTTCATGGGCACCTCACTATTGTATTACAACAGACTTGAAACTAGAATTACAGCCCCACGGTTGTATGCCAGGTTCACACTACACAGTATCAGCCGGACTGTAGCCAGACGCAGCGTCGTACAGTGTTGGTTTGGATTGTAGACGACAATGAATGTGTTACCCAAGAATCCATCATTTTATCTTGTGTAGTGTGTCATAATAGACGACAACAGATGCCACATCTGGAACGCCTCAGGACATCCTGACAGAAAGTCAAGCATGTTTAATTTTCTTTTTGTCATTCACGACTTATCCTGTCACAGCCGTCACTTGGACCAATAGACACATAGAGCAATCTGTTGCCGTGGACAACTGTATGGCAACAACAACCCGGCCTTTTTGATATTTCCTCTAGGGACGTTACCACGACAGAGTGAAAAGGCATGCTGGTGTGAAACAGCAGAGTCACCTAAGCAACCTGGTGAGAACTGCCATTAGCGTCAAGCTAGCAAACAAAGTTATTTCTGTATAATAGAAAAGGATGTAAGGGTGCCAGCTTAATTTGGAACAGACTACATTGGAAACTGGTCATTATTTTTTCATTACCTTTTTTACCTTACCATTTTTCTATTTTCACTTTTAATCCACTCCCATTTGTCATGTTAAGGTTAATCCACTGGGCCATCATTTCAAACTCAACACTTCCTGTATCTGTTTAAAATTAAAGGCCCCTTTATAATTTCGGTTGAGAGAATCCCTACATTTTCTGTACAGGCAGGCACTCGTGGAGGATTCAGTGACTGTCATAGTTTGCATGTGGTGTTTCAGGAGCTACATCTGAAACACCACATGCAAACTATGACAGTCACTGAATGTGGTGTTACATCTGAAACACCACATTCAGTGACTGTCATAGTTTGCATGTGGTGTTTCAGATGTAGCTCCTGCCATCTGGTGGCGCTTTTTATGTTACTACAATAACATTTCAGCTGGGACATGATCAGTCACAGTGACTGAAATAATAGTAATAATTATAAAAACAGAACAAGAATAACCCAGTGACATAATGCATGTCATAAAAGACGACCAGGGATTATTGATCGTGGACCAACTTGTGGTGTGTTATGTCTGTCAGCCAAGCCACAGCATGATTTTATGACTCCACAATTACCTAATCTGACACAGTGACAGTTGGAACAGACAAAAACGCTGTGTAGTGGGAGCCTGGCATTACAGTTTAGAGTCTGTGAAAACATGGCTGCTTGTACAAACTTTGACTTTGACTTTTGACTTTTTGGATTTAAAATGTCATCATTATATCTTATTAGATATTTGTGTGAAGTTTTGTCATAATTAGTGTAAGAATTATTATGTTATAGCCTTTGACCTTTAACCAGCAAAATCTAATCAGTTTAATCTTCAGTTAAAGTGGACGTTTGTGTCAAATTTGAAGAAATTCCCTCAAAATATTCTTGAGATATTATATTAACAATAATGACAGAGAAAGGGTCACACTGACTTCGACATTTGACTCTTGACCACCAAAAACAGATCAGTTCATCATTGAATCCAAGTCGATATTTGTGCCAAATCTGAAGAAATTAATTGGGTTGGGGGGTAATAGTGACATTAGTCATTGATGTAAACACAGCTGCTTACGATTGTGATAATGAAGCTGATAGCAGTGAGGAAACATTAATAACTCTGAGCTCCTTCGCTGCACCAGTCTGTGCAGATTAGAACACTCAACAAATCATGTTTTGTTTGTCTCTCTGTGACAGGTTGAAGTGTCCCTGAATCACCTGAAGAGACACATCAGACGCTGTGGAAAGTCAGCTGTGATTCCTTCATACAAGGTCAGCTGTGATTCATTAATGTATTATGTGATCATGGGGGGATGATGAGACAGTGGGCTCCTGGGCACAGATATGCAAAGGGCCCCACTTTGGCTTGCCTAAACTATATGTTTGCACAAAAGCCCTGAGGGTAATTACGGAGTATTCTCATATGCCATACTGGTATTACCTCTGTTTAAAACAGAGAAACTGTTGAGGTACTGAAACCATTTGTTACTGTAATTACTTTGAGTATTTGATTCATTCTATGTATTTGCTGCTGATATTTAACTGTTTTTGTGCGTTACTTTGAGTTTTTTAACAAGTGGCTGGTGATACCACAGGTTCTTCTAGGTCGACAGGTTAGACCAAGAAAGGCAAATCGAGCCCAACTGTATTCTTTGATCAGTTTCTCACCAACTGACATATAAAACAACACCTATGTACAATTCATATTAAAGGCTTATCTAGTACACCTTCCGTGACACAGGGCGGCGGCTGAATGACAGACAGGAAGGAATGTCGCATCAACTTGACCTTTTTTTTTTTTTTTAATCTCCGTTTATGCCGTGGGGGAAACATTGCCTGGTGCTCAGGATCATGACTGTGCAAGTCACAGTTGCAGGTAGACAGAGGATAGAGCAGCAGTCCTACGAATAAGCGGATTCTTTGATTATGAGGGGTTTTGTTGACAGCATAGCTTTTCTAGGTCAGTGGGGACGGTTCCAGCAGGTTGTCTTCTTCCTCCTGTGCGCCAGCATTGTGCCCAATGGATTTGGAGCTTTCACCCTCGTTTTCCTGACTGATATACCGAGCCACCACTGCCTTGTTCCTGAATCCAACCTTACTGAAGATTGGCGTAACAACGTCATACCAGTAAAGGTGAGACGACCAGAAGTGAGACCTCCTGTTGAAAGACGCAATGTTAATTTTTATCCTGTGCACACGATCAACCTAGGCTTTGACAACTTGACTCAGGGAGGTTCATTGCAACACAAAGTTAGAGAAATGTCATTGTTATGTCCTACATATTTGTATTTGCTTGTAATTTTAAAATTGAGCACACAACATGTTGTTTAAATGTTTTATTTTAAGGGACTGGGAATAAAACAGGAATCTAGAAGAGCTCACTGAAATACTCTTTTTCACATGCATTCCATCTAGTTTCTGCTTGACGTCAGGCATATCTTACAATCATACAAAACATCACTGCAGTGACCATTTTAAAGCCATGAAAGAGTTAAATTCTTGTCTAGTTTTAGGTCACATCACTTATTACAGTTGGGATGAAAGCCAGGTCAGTGTGACTGAGGTGTGAATATATCTGAAATTTAAGAGCAGTGTTAAGATGTGTTCGATTTGTTTATGTAAAAAGCATGGTCATAAACCAGGACAATGAAATCAAAAGGCTTGCCAAGGCGTTTAAGGTTGCTTTTGTGATATAGCATACTTAAGTTTTGAAAGAATACTTCACCTGTTGTTTCAATATTTTGTTTGAGGAAAGATACTCGCACATCCAGTTGTCTCAGATGCAAGTGCATTGGAAAATATCACTTATATCACACTGCTCTCGCTCAGCTTCTCAATTTATTAGTAACAGTAATATTTCTGTCCTCCTGGACCTTTGTCAAGAGTGTTCAACACCATTATCTCCAACACTGAGCTTATTTAGAAACTGCTCCACCCATTTCACAGGTGTGCACAGGTGTGGGGAGTTAATTAGTTGTGTTTCTCAATATGTTTCATATCCCACAAACAAAAGAACAAGAAAAACATAGGAAAAACTTACATAATAAATGCTATTTACAAGATTATACACAAAATAATGGTGATCGTATGAATGAACACATCGGCCTTGCAGCTTTCATAAATCATTCAACATGTTCAACATTGTATACTCTTAATCCGTGTATCATAAATTGATACGTCAGCATGACATGCACTGGTATCCCATCATTTAATCCTTTGGGAGAAAGAATTTACAGATTAAATACCCAGTATACTTTTCTTTTGCTAAGTATTTCTTCAATGTTACAGCCTCCCAATGCCCTGCAACCTAAATGATGAGATATCATGTTTGAAGTCAAGTCTATTTTTAAAAAACATTGGCACATATAATCATCAGACCCAACAATATCCAGGTATTTAAGAGAACCACCATGCATAGTTTACCGAAGAGGATGTAGTCTTAGAGACAGCCTGGTACATGGTGATGCAAAATCAGAGAAAAAAAGTACATAGTCTGTTAAAACCTCTTCCACATGGATGTTGCAAATGCAGAGGATATTCTCAATGTAACAATATGGTCAAAGGGAAGTATTTTACTCATCCACTTGCTAGGAAAAACACACCACAATGACAAATTAACATCAATAGAAATGTTACTAATAACACTAATTACGTTTATATTGTGACTGTGAGGTGGTGAATGGGAAACAGGAGCTGAGCAGTTGCAGCAGGTACAAGCTAGATGTGGTCCGAAATCTCTCTGCTCAGGGATTCATCCCTGGCAGGGACGTCAACCTCACTGACCTGGAGCAGGAGGGCTGTGTGGACGGTTGGAGCTACAGCAAAGACATCTACAAATCCACCATTGTCACTGAGGTGAGTGAGTGTTTCAAGACAGTAAACGAGCTTGCTGACATTTTTGTGTCACTGTACTGTTGTCTCAACTTTCCTCCTCATCTTTGTTCACAGTCTTCCTGTTCTGTTAGTGCGTTTGTCTTGCAGCCTTTGTTGTATCTGTTGTTGCTCTTGGTGTCTCAGTGCCAGCTTACTGTCACTGTGCACTTGTTTAACCCCAGTCCTGTCCATGTCTGTATTTTATTTGTCCTTCTGCAGAGTGTATACTTAGGGCAGGGCTTTTGCCTGCGGGGTTTGGATGTACGTAAAACCTTTATTCAAAGCATTGTGAAATGTCACGGTAATCACTCACTCTCTAGGATCCCTCTGTCAAAATCATGCTGGTACATTAGGCACAGCACTGTGAACACAGCTGCAGTCAGTCAGCACACCTAGTTAACGCTTGCTCATTATCATAACTGTGAAGAGAATCTCTTTGCAAAAAATGAAAGCATTGTTATAGCTTAATGTTTAACGCCTTCTTATTTATTTGACTTTTTACCGTATCAATTGCCTAACGCTGAGGAGGTAATGTGTCAGTGATATGTCGTGATCATACACTGCTTTCACATTGTGAAGCTAGTCCCTGGGTAACAGTACTCAATTGTTCGTCATCTTCATCAACTATCACAAACATGGCAGTCTCTAAAATCCATACTGCAAGAGAGACACACCCTTTGAAGAGTGATTTTAATTGCTGTGAATTATCTCTGTAATCCAGCCTGCTACTCTCACTCAAGCCAGTGGGGAATCTTTTATCATAAGATTTGAAGATGTTGTCATGTGATCTGTATTTGCATGGGCATGTATGGGAAACAGGTTTGAATGTAAGCCTACTCTAACTCCCCTTTGTCAGTTCAACCAGGTTTATTGTTGTGCTGGTACAGTAAATACTAAAAGCCATAAGACATACAGGCAACACAGAGGATGCTCTACAGCTAACACCAAATACGTCATCACACAGTTCAGACGGGGAGACAAAATACAAAAACTCAGGCGCAGGCTACAATGTGGTTTAACTTGGGTTAAGGCTGGAATGGATGAGGGTGGGACGCTCTGCTGTGCACTCTGCCCTGACTGGTTGTTACATGATTGTCAGTTGTTTATGCTCATGTGAGGCAATGCAAGAGTGTTACTACTGACCACAACCACAAAAGTTTTTCTGCTGTTTTCATGGGTAGTTTAGGCTAATTTATCACAAAACGTCATATTTTCTAAACTCCTTTGTTTGTGAAAATCTAGAGGCTTTACTGGGGCTTAAGAGGCAGTCATAGCGGAGAGCCACAGCATGTTGGATGCTCCACATTCAGGGGTGTGTGGACACTGGAGGACAGCCGACACTGGGCACAGGGCCTGCAGAGGGAGGGCAGGAGCTCACCTGGGTCCATACCCACGGCTGAGGGCCCTCTGACAGCTTTCCTCCAGTGTCCATATACGCCTGGATGTGGAGCTGTGGACTATGACTTTTTTTTTTCCTGGGGATTTTGTGCCCCTGTGCTCTGAACATTTGTTGACAAATGACCCATGTCCTTCTGGACCATCCAATTAGCATCAACCTTTAACTTACAGTGACTTTTTTTAATGCACTTTGCACAAAAACAAAACTGCAATAAAAAAACAAAAAACAAAAAAGGATTTGTTCTCCTACTTCAAAACTTGCTAGACTTACTGAAACACAGCACCTGATAGACTCTGTGCAGCACATCCTCAAACATCAATACTACATAAAGTACTAATTTATGAATATTGCAGCCTAGAAAATTAAAGTATATTCAAATACACTAAAACAAATAATGTCATTGAGCTGAGAGGTTGGCAATTCAGAGAGCTGGCCTCAATGCTAAAACATAATCAGACATCAAATATATACAGTGGATTTCCCCTAGTCAATGTGTTTCATTGTATAATTGTGTATGTATGGCTATTCCAGTTTGACCTGGTGTGCAGTGAGCAGTGGAAGCAGCCGTTCACCTCCACAGTTTTCTTCATTGGAGTTCTTCTTGGATCCTTCTTCTCAGGACAGCTCTCAGACAAGTACAAAAAGAAACACCAGTTAAACTGTATATATAAAATATACATACGCAGTCATATAAACCTGTAACCCTTTTACCATATAAACTGTATAGTAAGAGATCTAATTACGTATTCAAATCAGCCACTAATTTAAGGTCTTCCTGTACCTCTAACTCAGGACATGATTGTATACCGAGAAAATAGCAAGCAGCGCTTATCCTTATGTTTGTCAGGAATGGAAATGACTGTTACTCTTTTGTGGAGATGTTGGCATTGCCTTACACACTAATGAACGTCATCCAGTATGTTGGCTTTTTTCTTTTTTTTGCAACCATACCTTGCCAGATTATGAAACAGACCTTTTCCAATGTGAGGTTATTTATTGCGGAAAGAAGGATTGCCCACACACTGACCTGCACCTACACAGCAATGTTTTTTTTATTTTTTATTTTTTATTTTTTTATAGAAAGAACAAACACAACATACAGCATAAAAAAAAAACAAACCATAGAACAAACAGTTGGTCACCTACACATTCATACATACGTTATACTGATGGAGATACAAGTCAGTTTATACAGTAACGGCTCAGTTATCATCTCTTGTGGTCACAAATATAATCCATTTTTCCCAGTATTTCAAATACTTATCCATCCGTAGACTTAGCGAAAAGGTCATCCTTTCCATATTTTGAATATTAGTCACAATATCTATCCAGCCTGTCTCTGTTGGAGGTGTCGCCTGCAACCATTTTCGGGTTACAGCTTTACTGGCTGCTAATAATATTTTCAAAAGATATTTGTCTCGCATCAGTAAATGGGGTGCAGTATTGCTCAAATAGATTGTAGAAAAAGAGCAGCAAATTTCGTCACCAAAAATATTTTGGATTACCCGTATAATCTCTTGCCAGTATGGCTGAATAGCTGAGCAGCTCCAAAATATATGAAAATGGTCTGCTAGCTGTTCTCCACAGTTCCTCCAACATAGACCTCTGACCGTCTCCCCTGTCTGCACACATTTTAACTTAGGAGTTATGAAATACCTGACCAGATTCCACCAGCAAAAATCTCTCCAAAGAGCAGAACTAGTGGAAGTTGACTGCACAGAGCACATATTCAGCCATTCACAGCAATGGTTTTTAACGGAGCAACGTTTTGGACCTTTATCAAGCATGAAGCAGTAGTCAAAATGACTTACTTAAATAGAGGAAGTAGGTCCGAGTTGACCAATCACAGTTTAGCATGTGTCATTACCAGAAAGAGGTTACAGCTTGTGACAGTTAGTAAATGAACACACCTCAATAGAGCAGTACAAGCACCTCGAACACGAGTCATCATTGTAGGTGTATGATAAATGTACAAAAACCAATGCAATATCAGTGGATAAATCAAATTAAATTAAATTTCAGTATAAAGCAGGCAAGAAAGTTCAGAAAGTAAGGGCTGGCAAATCTGTGACATAAGAACTAGTGAACTGGATGAAGGGCCTATAATGGTCCCATGGTGACACTCATTTAGACCTTTGTGGGAAAGTGTTGGTAATGTATGAATCCAATAAGTTTCACGTTGCTTTAGTAGAAGCTCATGATCACCCCCTCTCTTTGGAAGATGGACCTGTTCTATACCAATGAAATGAAAGGAAGGAATGTCATGATTGAAATCATTAAAATGCACAGCCGCAGGGTAACTGCAATCATTTCTGTGGATGGTGCTTTTGTGTTCACTGATTCTCTGTTTCAATTGTCTAGAAGTTTTACCTACATATGCTAAACCACATGGACAACTTATCAAGTGTATAACATCGGTAGAAGCACTTGTAATGTACAGCAACATAATGTGGTGTCATATAATGTTACCTGTTGTGTTGCTTTTCCATCAGTACCATAGAATATGATACACAATGGTGTGATGTAACAGCCTGGAGCTCATGTTGATTTGCTCTGGCAAATGACAACCAAAAATGTGGTGATGTCATCGTTTTTGCTCACACACCCTTGTGCCAGGGGGGAATTTTTTCTCTCAGGGTGGCAAAGGTTATGGCTCGCCCTACCTTGCCCCACTCTGCCTCTCATTCAGAGGGAGAGTAGGTCGGGTCATGCCTTCACCATCCTTTGGGGGAAAAAAATAATTACATATTGAGGCAGGCAGGCATAAACTTATTTAACTTATTTAGGATAGCCATTGAAGCATTTTTAAAAACAACCAAGGTGGCTGCGGCTGATGTGGAACTTTCTGTTCAAGTCCTACTTTTAAATTCTGACGGCAACACTCACTAACAGACATATTCATGTGACAGAAAAAGGATCTGGCCACTTCCTCCACCAGCGACCATACCTTATAATTTATCTGGCCTTGGTGGACATTTTTATGCAAATAATTTTGCATGCAGTATGTTTTTGTTGAGCACATCTGCCAATTCAATCTCCACCCCCTTTAGTGTAGAAGAAAAAAACTGGTGTCCATGTTTAGTGTACCAATATATACCTTGGTAATGAAACTTTATTCGACTTCTCTCATAGATTCGGAAGAAAACCTGTTCTTTTTGCAACCATGGCAGTTCAGACAGTTTTTACCTTTATTCAAGTCTTCTCTACTTCATGGATTATGTTCACTGTCCTCCTCTTCATCAATGGTTTGGGCCAGATATCCAACTTTGTAGCTGCCTTAGTGCTGGGTACGTATGGACGTTGGATTCTATAAATACTGCCACAACAGTTTTACACATTTGTCATGTTTTGAATTCCTGTCGACAGTGCAGTAAGTTTAAAACATACTGTGCATATCTACTTGACTTATAAGTGTTCACCATCCATTTTTTTTTTTTTTTTTTTTTGTATTTCTTTATCTCTGTGTGCAGGCGCTGAGATCTTGACTGGCCATGTGCGAGTCCTTTACTCATCTATGGGCTCATCTCTGGGCTTTGCCATTGGCTACATGCTGCTGCCTCTCTTTGCTTACTTTTTAAGGGACTGGAGATCTCTCCTGTTGGCTTTGTCTTTGCCTGGCCTGGTCTACATCCCCCTCTGGTGGTAGGTTTTACTTACTACAAGGAAACATCATGAATTACCTTGAACTTCATGTTTTTTGTCTTTTAACAGGATTTATATTTCTTGCATATTTGTATGCAGTGTTGATAGCCGAGGCCAGAGGCATTATGTTTTCAAGTTGTCCGTCCATCTGTCTGAATGTCTGTTCTTGTGAACACAATATCTCAAGAATGCCTTGTGGGGATTTCTCAAATTTGCACAAACAGCCACTTGGATTAAACGGTTATTAGATTAGATTGTGGTGATCTTAGGTCAAAGGTCAAGATCACTGTGATCTTGTTTGTCTCACTCTTATGAATTTCTTCAAATTTGGCGCAAACGTCCACTTTGAGTCAAGGATTAACTGATTAGATTTTGGTGGTCAAAGGTCAAGGCCACTATGACCTTGCTTCCATCTCATTCTTGTGAATGTGATATCTTAAGAAGGCCTTCTGGGAATTTCCTCAAATTTGGTACAAAGGCCCACTTGGACTCAGGAATGAAGTGATTAAAATTTGGTAGTCAAAGGTCAAGGTCGCTGTGAGCTCACAAAACATGTTTTTGGCTATATCTTAAGAACTTATTTACAAATTATGACAGATCTTCACACATATATCTAATGGGATATATTGATGAAGTGATGACATTTTATACCCAAAAGGTCAAAGGTCAGCTTCACTGTGACATCATAATTTCTGGGGGAAAAAAAACACTTTTGTGGCCATTACTTCATAAGTCGGGAACAGAGGAGGTTATGTTAGGTCAGATACTGAACTGTTGACACACATCTTGGATGCTCACCTTGAAACTGTGCTGATTGTATCGATCCTTTGTGCTGCCAGGGGAGAAATGTGTGTGATGCATCCTTGTTTTCACAGACATGGATGTCAACTTGTCTAGTTTGTGGAGGCATACAACCACAAGGTGGTAATTCTAGTTTTTAATGGAAAATCTTGAACCCAACAAGTAAAGAGTTAAGAATGGCAGACTGACCCGAAGACTTATGAGACTATGACTAAGACTATGTTTTATGAAAGAAAATGTGTGCGTTTGTGTGTGTGTGTTCACCATCTTTGTTTTTAACCCCTCTGATCCAGCCTGACCTTTCCTATCTGTCTCTGTGCTGTATAATGACACAGGCTCATCCCAGAGTCCCCTCGGTGGCTACTCTCCCAGGGAAAAGTGGAAGAGGCTGAGGCCATAATAAGAAAAGCAGCTAAGTGGAACAAAGTTCAGGCTCCGAGGGTCATCTTTCAAGATAACGATGTAAGTTGACCTGCTGATGCCTGCTGTTGGCACTTACTGTAAAACAATCATCTAATGTTACAATATCACTGTCAGATATGTTGTATTTGGTACGAACAAAACACCCAGGACACACTGGAGGCTGTTATGTCACTAAATTAATCTCTCATTTCAAACAAAAAAGGTATTCTGTCTGATTTGACCTCAGGTTATACAGTTAGCACATTTTAGGGAAAACTAATTATCAGTCAAAATCATGTAGCATCAGAATAGACGAATTTCTATTTTTGTTTGAAAAATAAAAGTATATTTCTTAAACAAAAAAAAAACATCCCAAGGATATTAGGCTACTGAAAAATTGCAAACAGAGGATGAGAAAGTGTATGTGTCTTGCAGGTTGACAAGACAGAGATACACTCTAAACAACGCCTTAGTGCCATTGACCTGTATAGGACCAGCAGCATCAGAACCACAACCCTTATTCTCGGCTTTGTATCGTGAGTAAACGGCTTTATAACCATATTATTAACAGTCACTGCAATGTCTGAGATAGCTTATTGCAACATGTAAAAGACATTCAAATGGACAAAAAAATCACATGGCAAGAGGAGGTTTTAATCAGTTTAACACATATGCAACATACAAGAACATGCAAATGTAGGAGACACAGGCATTATCTGAGCCCCCTTTTGTTTAGTTTCTTTATAAGTAACACATTCAGCATTTCCTTTGTTAAAAATTCAACCACAAATAGTGACATATGCAGGAACAAGGAAACAAAATGTGGTTGATTAAGTAATTGATGGACTGCTTGCTTCCTCATTGCACCTAACACATAACTAAAAGTGTGTGCGTGTGCGTGTGTGTGTGCGTGTGTGCCTGCAGCAAACATTATGTATGTCAGTAAGGATCTGTACTGCAACACAGTTCAATCACAGTTCAAGTTTGGTTAAAAAATGAATGGACACGAATGGACTTTTCCTCAATTTGCCCGAATGTATTTATATGATTTTATAACAAGCCTTTCTATTCAAACTCCTCTGCTATATGTCTGTTTCATCATCTTGCCCAGGTTCACTGTGACTGCTGGTTACTATGCCCTGTCTTTCAACACTCCCCAACTCCATGCTGACCCCTACATCAGCTGCTTCATTTCAGCAGCTGTGGAGGTCCCAGCATACATTTCCAGCTGGCTGGCTCTGCGATACCTTCCGCGAAGGCTGTCTGTCATCATTACCTTGCTCCTTGGAGCAGTGCCACTATACCTCATTCAACTGGTGCCTGAAAGTAAGCAGAAAAAAAGCCAGGACTCTATTCACAAAGATTATTGCAAAGTGATGGTTTGTGTGGTGAAATTCAAAGGAACACACTGTTGGGCCGAAGAACAACTGCAATTAGGGGGGAACTTATCACAAACTCATAGTGTCTTGCTCTTTTTGTCAAGGTGAGCAGCAGGAATTAATCATACATCTTGCATTAATTGATGTATTGAATCATCATGACTCAGACATGAGTTATGCATTACTTAAAGCCTCAGTGTGTAAAAATGGTGAGTAACAGTGACATCAGTGGTCAAATTCTAGATTGCAGTGCTCACTCACTCACCCCTCCCGTCGGGTAAGTGACGTGCCTCGTAGGACAAAAAGCCTTGCACAGACAGCAGAGTTTTTTGAGTTTTTCAGGAGTATCTAGCGACGAGGTGAATATTTATTTAGAAATCTAAACCATGTTACGATATGTTATAGCTTACCAGTGAGATATAGGTTATCTGTGAGATATATGTTAGGGGTGTTGTATTTCTAATTGTTTTGGTAACATGAGCATTAGCACAGTAATGCTAAAATAACACGTTTTATGTGATAGTCACGGCACAGTGCGGCAAATATAGGTTGGTACGATTATAATATATACGTTTCCAGAGTGTTCTTCCACAGGACACAGGGAGAGGAGGAAGAGGGAGAGGAGGAAGACCAGGGAGAGGAAGGGGGCGAGGGGGTAACGTTAGAAGCGGTGCAGGAACGGCCAGGCGAAGAGGTGTGTCTCGGCTACCCAGAGGGAAGAGGAGGAGGAGAGGGTGGCAGCCTTGCAGCATTGCGAGAGGAATCAACAGATTAGGCTGTATGCTAGGCTCACCATTTAGCTGTAGCTCTGGGATAACGTTAGCCAAGGCCAGGATAACGTTAGCACATAAACGTAGCCATCACTCGAACTTAGACGAGAGGGAAAAGTAGTTGCAAACATTAAGCCAAAATGATTTTAAAATATCAGATTGAATTACCTGTCTAGCAGAAAGCAGGCAACCTCCGCATCCCTTGTGAAATCTTCTCCTTCAGGAGTTCTTTCCACCTGGAATAAGCAACGCCGATATTCACTGGCGTTTTGTCCCGTCCTCGCTTATCTGATCTTTTTCTATTATTTGGTGGCGTGGTTTCCCTCTTACGGGGCAAAACATATGTGTGGTCCTCCATTTAAAGTGCGACAGAATCATAAAAGTACAAAGCAGGTTCAGGCAGAAGCGCCCCGGATTGAGCTTGACGGCAAGTTCTAGGTAAACGCGAAAGGCGAAGTGCGTATATCCCTTTGGCCACTGTATTCAAATATGGCGACGCAAGAGGGCAGCCTCCAGCAGACCGTTCCCTGCCTGTGTATATCTAAAGAAATCATTCTAAGCCTATGAGGAAGCTTCCATTTGTATGTGAATTGCATTACACCTTAGTAAATATATATTTATGAAAGCAATAGTTGATATTTGCTAATAAACAACCACGTAAATTGCACATTGTAACTTTACTTAAACATGTGTTTTGTAACCTTTTTATAAAGTGTTACTGAAAGAGAAAGCAGCTACATGTTGCAGACATGGGTAGAAATTGTAGTTGATCAAGGGCTTCAGACCTGTATGTGTTTCTACTCTGTTGTTTCCAGTTCAAAAACAAACTATGTCCTTATCCTTTAGGTCTATCAAATCTGTCGCTTGCACTGGAGATGTTGGGTAAATATGGTATTACCACCGGTATAGCTCTGATGTTTGCCTACACTGCAGAGCTTTACCCAACAGTGCTCAGGAACACAGCGACAGGGATATACACTACTGTTTCCAGACTGGGAAGCTGCGTTGCACCATTTTTGTTAAAACTGAGTGAGTAAATTGCATTTAGTTAATAATTATTACTATTGGTTTAACTGATTTTTAAGCACCTGTGCTGATGTACCCTGCTAAATCTTATTTCACCAAGTTTGGAACCGATGCACACGCCCTCACGACAGAAACAGACAATTTTATTACTTTGCCCTAGAGATTTCAAGTAGTGTTGTTGTTGGCGCAGCTGTGACAAAGACAAACGATGCTTACCTCAGAACGTGGCAATACATGTTAATCTCTTTTTCGATTGACAGGTAGATTTTCCATAATTACTGTGGTTGCTCCACTGTCTGCCACTATTGCCACTGGAGATAGTAACTGCAAAGGAGTTGGACTGAAATTCTTTGGCAACGGAGGATGGTTGTCAAAGCATTGTTTGCTTTCTGCTTTTGTTGTGCAATGGTTGAGAACACTTTGTGCCATAAATCAAGCCATAATTATCCTGAGAATTCTCACCCAGTGGCAGGCAGAATTGCACTGTAAAAGCAAGGCATATAGGGAACCAGTTTAAATGCAGATGGTGTTATTATTCTTTAGCCATTGAATTGTGGAATCAACATTTACTGTGTTGCAGTACATGGTAGTTATCCTAAGAGTGTAGCTGTACATAATCGGGCCATTCAATATTTTTTGGGTGTGCATAGATACAGTATGTGCCAGTGCTGGCGGTCACAGGGGATACGGGCTGGGAACCCAGTGAAGTCCGTTGGAAGGTTTGGGCTGCCAGATTATGGAATAGGTTACTCAATATGGATGATAATAGATTAGCAAAAAAAATATTCAAATGGGATATACAACGGAATGGACCTTGGATAATGGACATGTGTGCTTCGTTTTGTAAATATGGATATGAACAAGTATTCCTCAGAACAGAGAAAATTGACATTGTAACTTTAAAGGAAAGGCTGCTTTATGAGGTTCAACAACAGTGGGCAGATGAGATTTGGAGTAAACCAAAGCTACGTACCTACCATGAAATAAAATATGAGTAATTAACTGAAAACTATGTTCTGTAAAACCTGTCAAAGAAACAAAGATCACTCTGTGCACAGATTAGAGCAGGCATATTGCCACTTCATATTGAAACCGGGAGGTATGTAGGGTTGGAAGAAGACAGTCGAATGTGTGACCTTAAAGAAGTAGAAAATGAGTATCATTTTGTCTTGTACTGTCCTTTTTATTGGAAGATCTGCGAGGAGTTGTTTAGTAATACAAAGATTAAGGTAGATTGGATAAATGCGGATGATTCACAATGACTGACTTGGCTGAAAAAGAAATATTTGGACTGGCAAAGTATTTGGAGAAAACTTGGGACATGAGAAAGGGAGCATTGTATCAGTAGATGTATAACTTTACTTTTGTACTGCTGTAAATTGGTTTTCTGTTGCTGTTGTTATCAAATGCTTGACCAGAGCGACTGGAAATGTATATTGTTATTTTGTTTTGCAAATGTGTCATATAATCCTGTGGGGGATGGGCCACTAGGTGGCATGACACTAAAATAAAATAAAATCATTCATTCATTCATACTTCATAATGATAACTTAAAGCAAAAAAAGTGCAATACACACCAGGGGATATCCGAGCCAGACATCACTCATGTGCTGTATTCATGCACAGGGCAGGGGAAACACTCTGTATAAAGAGAAAGGCAGTGGGAGCAAGAGGGATGGTCAAACACTGCTTCTGAGTGAGCAGTCTCCCCCAGAGTTGCAGACTCACACATACTGTAAATGTACACACACAGAGTACCCATAATTTTCTCTCATCTTAACCTTCCCTTCTCATTCTTTAGGAATGTACCTGTTGTATCTTCCTTACATTATACTGGGGACTCTGGCTATTATGTCTGCCGTTGCTGCTCTCTTCCTTCCAGAGACTTTTGGAAGACCTCTACCTGAAACTATACAAGAGATGCAAAAAAGAGAGAGGTAGGCTGCGTAAGAAATACACCTTTGTGATGGATGTGTGAATCAGCAAGTGTTTGCTAGCAAGTTCACCATATCAACTTTAAACTTGTTTCTGCTGCAGCCAAATAGTGGCCAAATACATATTTTGCAGGTTGAAGGATTATTTTAAGCTCTGTGATTTTACAGAAGTATGAACTCTCGTGTTTCCTCCCACTAAAGCATGTAAAAAACACATTAAGTGGATGTGTTAATGTGTCACCAGGCGCTCCAGTGAGTGCAACTGCTTGCGTTGATGATGATAATTAAGTTTTATAGCACTCAAGAGATGTTGACACTTTGTCCTCTTATAGCTGCCCCATATTCTATGCAGAACATCACAACCACAATTATTTTCTTTTTTTGTCTTTCCTCCTCATAACAGGATAAAGTGTCCATGCATCTCTGGAAAAGAAACCCCAGTGCCCGTGTCACTCTTGGACAGTCCACTGTGATTATCTAGAACATTACTGATGGAGGTGATATGCTGATATTACTGTTGGGTATCATTACTGCTGTTTACATTTCTTTATTTTTATCTTATTTAGGGGTTGTTTTTTTTTAAAGTTTTTAAGCTATTCATTAAACTTGAACCCATAGTTTTTACTTGTAATGCAATTGAAAACATTAATGTTCTCTTTTCTAAGACATTAGAATATTAAATTGAAATGTAAGACTTAAATGGTGAAGTGGACTTCTCAAGGATTTTTTTTATCTTGCTCTGTTTTTGTATCACTTTTACATTTGTTTATACGTGTATGTGTTATGGTGAAGATGGATACAAAATATTCACTAAAACCAATAATAAAGGATTGAAATCTCACATCTCAAATATTTATGTTATAAAATGTAGTTTGGTTACTCAATTAAAGCCATATTTGAATGTCATGTATGCATGCAGGCTGCAGGTTTGCCTTTCATAATAGGGGAGAAAACATGTAATACTGATGCGATGGCTGTTAATAAATGTTTAAGCAGTGAAGCATAAGTTGCAAGGTTTGCAATATTGTTGTGGAAACCTTACACAAATGACCAGTCGACAAGTTTTTGCATTACTTACCTTTGGTGAGGACAAAACAACAAAGCAATTTGGCTAGTTTGGTATCTCTCAAACTGGATATGGCACGAAAGTGAGCTGCAGTTCCAGTTTCATTTCATTTAATTCTGGCGTTTTTCTGGACAGAGACATGTTTCTGTTACAAGTAGCATAAGGGCGACTTTATGCAGTTTTGCAACTCTGGCTCTAATATTGCAGAATAGTGTCTCTTGGTGCAAACAATTGCTTAAGGAATGTTTTACAGTGCTGTACTCTCCCCTTCAACTTTGATGAGGTGTGCATTTTTTATCTAGTACAGGGCGTGACTAACTGACAAGTGAGATGAAGACAAACCGGTCTCTTTATGATGTTGCAGTAAAGAAAAAGAAGTGATCTACGTCATGCAGGTTTGGAAGTTTGCACTTAGGATCCCGATATGAAGGATTATGATGAAACCATATCTTTTTTGGGTCAGTGGGGACGTTTCCAGCAGATTGTCTTCTTCCTGCTCTGTGCCAGCATCATGCCCAATGGATTCGGCGCATTATCTGTTGTCTTCTTGACTGCCGTTCCCAGTCACCACTGTCTGGTCCCAGAGGTTAACCTGACACAGGACTGGCGCAACGCTATCATCCCGAGAGAGGTAACTAAGATCTGAACAGGGCCTCTGGGAAAAGCTGTTAGTATGAAAGGTACACTTGTGCAAGAATTCAGAAAGAGAGCTTTAATGGTTATTATTAGATTTCATCACGAAGTTTTGATGATCAAATTTGTAGATTTAAAGTTCAGTCATTTTTAAAAGTAGCTGATAATGCAGTCTGGCCAGTAGAGTTGGGTCAAGTTCCAGTTTTGCCGGTGTGGTCCACCAGCCCAAACCAGTTTAATTTAATGCTAAACTGGCAAACAAAAACTGTAGCCTACATCAGCAACCTGTGCAGATGACGTCACTGCGCTAAATCCAGCTTGTATTGCATGATAATGATAATTATAAATAGATAACAAAAACTGCATTTGATATAGCACCTTTCATAGAAATAAAATTCAAAAAGTGCTTCACAAAGTACAATAAAGAAATCAAACAATGAAACGTGCGATCTGTACCCGACTCCCTTTTGATCGGCCATGCAATCAATTAAAAAGAACATTCAATCAACAAAGGCGAAGGCAATACAACAATTAAGAGAAAGCAATAAATAGAAAGTAAAACGTTTTATAGTGTTGGAGCCACCTTTATTTTGAGTCCTGTTCAGAAGACTAGGGACCAACTGACGATATATGGATGGAGATCACTGATGTATTTACATTGCTTAGTAATAAGTAATTATAATATTTTTATCAAAGGATTAATGGAGTCGCTAGTGTGGGACAGGCCGTGCGCAATTTTCTGCTGAGCCAAGCACCAGCAACTTAAAGGAGACCAAATTTCAATGGAGGTGGGAGGGGGGCGAGCAGCGCACGTTGTGTTTGTTGACCAAAATCTCATCTGTTATTTAGGGTGACCAGATGAGACATGGCAGAGTGGTACAGACATAGTACCCAAACTTAGGACCGTTAAGCGTTTCCACCGCAAACAGTACTCTTAAATGTGGGCAGGGTTGTCACTCACTGCTCCGTCTATCACTCACTGTATTCCCTCATCACCATCACCGGTGACACAGATAGAAGTCTGCACCTCATTTATTGTCCACAGAATGAACAGACTGCAGTGCTGGTTTCTCTCGATGGGATATTTAAAGATAAGATTAGAGTGGAGATTAGAATCTATGCAGTTCTCATTATCTGGTCGAAATTTATATAGGCACTGCTCAAAAAATTAAGGGAACACTTAAATCACACATCAGATCTTAATAAATTAATTATTAAAGTTGAAACTCTTTACTGATGTACACTGGAGAATTTGTTCAGAAGAAAATGATGTAACAACGGTCAGTGGAAATCAAAATCATCAACCCACTGAGGGCTGGATTCAAAATCACACCGAAAATCAAACTAAAAAAAACACGAAATCACAGGCTGATCCAATGTGCGTGAATTTTAACACGCACATTGGAGCTCATAATGTGACTCAGTAGTGTGTATGCCCTCCTGACAACATCAAGGCATACCCCTGATAAAATGGCGGATAGTGTCCTTGGGGATCTCCTTTCAGACCTCGATCAGGGCATCAATGAGCTCTCTGGCAGTACTTGGCAGCGTCAGATGCACCGATTGTTAATGTCCCTTAGGTGCTCAATTGGATTTAGGTCAGAGGAGCGAGAGGATCATTCAGGATCATCCGGGCACTGTCCTGCACCAGGAGGAACCCAGGACCCACTGCACCAGCGTAAAGTCTGACAATCACTCTGAGGATTTCATCCCAGTACCTAACAGCAGTCAGGGTACTGCTGGCTATGACATGGAGATCTGTGCGACCCTCCAAGGATTTGCCTCCCCAGACCATCACTGACCCACCACCAAACCGGTCATGCTGGATGATGTTACAGGCAGCATAACGTTCACCATGGCGTCTCCAGACTCTTTCACGCCTGTCACTGTAAGGAAATTGCTCAACTTCAGCAAACACTGAAATGAGGAGACTCAGAGAACTATGGAGAAAAGTTGCAGCCAGTGGAATTACTTTAATTGCAGAATACAACTCAACAACACAGTGACATAGCAGAAAACAGCCCTGCTTACCCAACTTTCAAATGCTTTTATACTATTTGAGTGAGTGGGCGTATGTTCATTTGTGTGCATGAGTGTGTGTGTGTGTGTGTGTGTGTGTGTGTGTGTGTGTGTGTGTGTGTCCATCCATGTGTATCAGGTCTGGGCATATGACCTAACTGTCCCACCAGTCAGGTCATCCTAACCTAAATGTGTTCCGTTCTCTTGTTTGATTTCCAAAGTTCACCAACTCAAAAACAACTCCTTATACGGAGTTCTTCCTGTTGCAGAAACTGACATCTGATCAACTGTTTCTAAGATCTTTTGCAACTGACATTATTTTAACATTTGATATAGAATAATACATTATCTGCCTCTACATAGTCCCTCCTCTTTATGATTTTGTCATAAATTATTCGCAGAGATAATGTATGGTAAATGAACGCCTATGTTTGTATAAGTATGAGTAGGATATATGACAATGTGAAAACAACCAGTGTTCCTTACTAACATGAATATATGGTCTTGTATGAAACTATTAAACTTGAATATGATGATGCATAAGAACACATATGATATAGTGATATATCATATGTGTTAATATGATGATGCATAAGAACACATATGATATAGTGATATATGAACTTGGCATGAGTATATGATATTACATCAAACACTGAAACATATTTTAGCATCTGTCAACAAAAAACAAAAAACCTGGCGGCTGTTGAATCCAGGAAAACTCCCCCATTGGCCCCTTCCCATTAGGCGGCCTAACAGATGAATCTTCAACAGCTGGATCAAATACATCAAACAATAAAATGCAACATACTTATTAGATTATAATGGAATCACAGAAATCATTTTGGATGATATGCATAATTTGCTAAGTTGAAATCAGAGTATATTTCCCTCTTGTAAAATCAAAACACAAAGATGAATACAGGAAATGGTGCCAGAGCGGTGGAGTAAACTGTTCACAGTCTCTTGTTCTTATGTGATATCTTGTATGTGGTTGTGGTGTATATATTCCCTGTCCTCTCTTTCAGGAGAGAGTATCAGCCATTGTTCATCATTCTCTCTCACAGTTCCTCTTCGTCATTTGTGCTCCTTGTATGTCCGTTACAAGGTTCAGCTCCTTGTCCATCGCTCTCACACACCATTTCTTCAGGATAGGCACGGCTTCAAGCTTGCTCATAGCAACCAAAAATGTTCCATCAGGCGAAGTGTTATTCGAAAATTTGTAGCTTTTTCATCTTCACAAAACACCTCTGCAAAATACTCATCGTTAGGATTTCTCTTCCTATCCATTCTAGCCTCAATTTCAAGTTCTTGACCTACGATGATTCTTATTTGGCATGAATGATTTCCCATTCCTATCTCCTCTTCCCCTGACTTCATCCTACATAATATTGTTTTATTTAGCTCTACAGTTATTTCACATTTTGTTCCATCCCCTCCTATCTCTTCGGGGATGAGCACTAACCCAGTCCTCTCCCACATAGTATGAAGATCCCTCTTAGCCCGTTTGTTAACCTGCTCCTGACTAAATGGCTTAGAGTCATAATAAAGCTTATCTGAGAATGTTGGCATGGGTTTCGACACAGTGTGAATTGGGAATTTTGTGGTTGCATCATACTTATCCTGACTCCAGCGGATGTCCCGTGCTCCTTGTCTTCAGAGTCTGGCTTGGGCTCCTTGGAGCAGTCTCTTTCGTCCCCAGGGTGCCTGGTGATTGCAACACTAGGCTGCACATTATTTCCGCCAACAACCACATCATTTTCCTCATTGTTTTTCAGTTTAATACTGCACTTTTCTTTCTGCCTGGATCTTGGTGCAATGGCTCAGATGATGCCACGTCGTGCTTCCTTCGACTTGGACTGCTGTTGGAGTTGCCCTCACCACGGTGTACGGCCCTTCTCCTCTTGGCTCGTGCCACTTTCTCCTGAAGACCTTCATGTACACCTGAACGCCTGGCACCGCCTGTCTCTCGGCCTCCTGTTCGGCCTTTGGCTCCTTCGCTTTTTCCTGCAGTTATATAGATCTATGGAAGGCAGTTAATTGTTTCATATATTCAGACAGTTCCATTTGCAGTTGTCGGATAAAGCAATCAATTACCACCAGCATGTATCATTTGCCATGTACAGATTTTATCATGTTTACATAGTCCATACATAAATGTTTAAAGGGTCCCTCCGGGACTGGAATGTGTCCCACAGGGGTTTTCACCCCTTTCCGGACATTGTTTTCGGCACAGATTTCACATTGGCTCAGTACTTCTTCAACCATTGCTTGCATGTATGGGGACCAATAGCCCTGCTGTCTTATCTTTTTCGACACTTCCCCCCTCCCACAGTGTGCAACACCGTGGGCTTCTGAGATCAAAATGGATGAACAAAGCCACTGGTGCAACTACAAGTCCCTCAAGGGACCTCCAAAGACCTTTCTCGTCCTGTGCTGCTCCTCTCTTGAGCCATAGTCTATGCTCGCCCTGACCTGCTTCCTTTTGTATTAGTATAATGTCTTCTGGTGTAATCATAGGTTCCAGGGACACCACTGGTGCCATTCCCCCCTCTCCAAGCGGCTCCGAATCCCCCCTCCCATCTACCCATCCGGGGCCCGCCTGTGGACAGCTCTGTGGCCAAGCTCTCCACACTGCCAACATGCTCCAGGAGGTCGATATGGCTGTGTGAATGGCTGCGGGTAGACATTGACAACTGGGGGGTGGTTGCGGGGGCTGTGTTGACTGTGCGGTGGGTGTGTTCGTTGGCGTGGGGTTCGTTTTTTCAGTCGTAATTGCTGCTTGGGTGTTAGCTTTGCCCTTGCTCTGCAGCTCGCCTAGTTGCAGCTGTGCCAGTTTTCTCTGGACGTCTCTATCCTGCTCTTTCATCCTCTGGTCATCTTTCTGTGTGGCATCGTTGTTAATCCCACTACGTCCCTTAGTCTGCTCTGGACTGGGGTGGGGAGCGCGTCAGTGACTGAGTCTCTGAACAGAGTCGTTAACACCTGGCTCTGCCCGATGTCTTCCTCAGTCTCTTGTCTCCATCTTTTCAAATGATTGTTTATGTATGTTGCAGGATTATCAGTCTCTGAAGGGTTCACCCCACAATGCTTTAGGGTCAACTTGTGTAGGGTACTCTCTCCTTAGTGCTGCCCACAGTTTCCTACAATAGGCATCAAACTCAGTTCCATCAGCCATGGGACTTATCATCCACTCACACCCGTTGTGCCTCAGCATGTTCTCCATTGCCGAGGCTCCGAGAGTTTGAGCTCACACCGCCTTCACATCCCCAATGCCAACAATTTGCCAATGGTAGCTTCCTCAAAAGCTCTGATCCACTTTGAGGCCCTGTCATGAATGTCAGGGAGTCTGGAGACCAGGCCGGTCAGATCGAGGGTCTGCCACGGGATGTAATGTCCCTGGTTCCCCTTTATTAAGATTGGAGCCATATAGTGCTCATTATTGTATCTGTCTGCCAATTCTGGTGTTCTATGGAGCATGCCAATCAAGCTGCATGGTCCTGGGCTGTGAGCACAGGTCCCACTAGAGGATGTCAGGCCTTCATGCTACCCTCATGGATTCTGTTTCTGACAGTTTGGTCAGAAACATGCACACTAGTAGCCTGCTGGAGGTCATCTTGTAGGGCTCTGGCAGTGCTCCTCCTGTTTTTCCTCACAAAGGAGCAGATACCAGTCCTGCTGCTGGGTTGATGCCCTTCTATGGCCCTGTCCAGCTCTCATTCCCTTTTGGGGGGTTGTCTTGCTTTTGCCTCGCCATTGCACCTGTTGTCACTTTCATTTGCACCAAAGCAGGTGAAACTGATTCACAAATCACTTGTACTTTCTAAATGGACAGATTGATATCCCTGAAGTTTAACTGACTTGTTATACTGTGACGATTACGTGTTCTCTCAATTTTTTTGAGCGGTGTATTTTTAAACGCTTGAGATCCGCTCATTACTGACAGTGTTTGTCATCCAAGAGAGACATTTAAGGTGTGTTGATGATTCATGTCATCAGCTCATGCATTACAAGTAAATTTTCCACCTTAAAAGCTGGACAGTGAATTAAGTTATTTTTATTTTATAGTTTACTAATATATGTAAGACTTAACCATGGGGTGAGCAGTTGTTGCATAAGCTTCAAAACCAGCCACAACTCAGCCCTGACCACGAGTAACCTTCCGCTATTGACCAATCAATGGACTGCAGTGTTTTAGCTCCACCTTTTAGTACCAGATCTGTGTGCTAGGTACCCCAACAGAGGGGTGCTACAAAATGGGGACAGTAAGGAACAGTTCCATTGGTACCATCCACAACTTTTCACAGTGGAAATGGAAAAAAAATGTGTAACAAACTGAACTGAACCATACTGTAACAGATTCAACCATCAGAGTCAAGTAGCTACACCTGATAAAATTCCATATACAAGGCTTACTATGAAACCAGTTTGAAAATTTTTAAAGGAGCCCAACCCTACTAGTAACGCTAATAAAGTTTGTGTGATTGTGACTGTGAGGTGGTGAATGGGAAACAGGAGCTGAGCAGATGCAGCAGGTACAGGCTGGATGTCGTCAGAAATCTCTCCGCTCAGGGATTCATCCCTGGCAGGGATGTCAACCTCACTGACCTGGAGCAGGAGGGCTGTGTGGATGGGTGGAGCTACAGCAAAGACATCTATGAATCCACCATAGTCACTGAGGTGAGTGTGTAAATCTATTAATATGGGAGAACTGAGTCCTCTTTCAAATGAACTGACGATGTGAACACAAAAAGAACTGAGTCCCTTTCCTGTTGGTCCACTTTTTTGGCTCACTTTTAGAGGAGTTTGGTTTGTTTAAAAAGGACTATTATGTAAAACCACTCCACCTGCTTTCATATGCACTCTAGTCTCACTCATAAAACTGAAGCTCAGAGGAGTTGACTCCATAAGAACAGCTGCACTGTTATTCTGGTCTTGGCGAGTGTGGTGGGAGGATCTTCGATTGGGACAGACATCCTCTGAATTTCTTGAGTGATGTGGAGCAGAGGGTCAGGAGAGGGAGAGAGATACATGCTGTCTGCCTGTATCTGCGTGCTGGCCTTCTTCCTTATCTTTAAATTCTTGTTTGGGTATGGCAGCCCAAGGGCATGGCGTAGGTTAGTTCATTGCACTCTGCAACCAACCAGTGATGTTTTGTTTCAGGTTTAAGGGTTTGTGTACAGTTTCAAAAGATATTGAAGTTGTCAATCTTTATCCCACAGGTAAGGCAAGCAGATGCCAGCTATGTATTTAAGCTAGGCAAGAAGTCTGGAAAATTTGAGTTTGGAAAAGTATAGAATTTTGAAATGGCAATTGAAATGTTATGAACCTTGAAACTTGGTTGTTTTTTAACTCCTAATGGACCAAGGTTCTTTTTTCTTAATCAACAATGAGATGCAGCATGCTTTAGCGTGTAGTTAGTGAGAGTATAGTCATAATGTTAAATATAATAAGTGAGAAACAAAGACAGACTTGAATTGGTTTAGGGAAAAGAGAGTGGGGGGAACTTAAAGGGACACTCCACTGTCACACTGCTCTTCCAAAAATCAGGGGGACTCACAAAGAGAGATAATCAAAATTGAGGTCTTCTCTTTTATGGATGAAGCTCCAAAACACTGTATCCTACATTTCCCATAATGCAACTGAATAGCATCCTTCATTCCTCCTAAATGTCCATGTCTTTCGGACCTCACACCTCCCAGTTTGCAATGCAGGTATTCTGTTAAAAGTTGAAAAGTTGAAGTTGAAAAAATCCAAAAAGCAATACATGCTTATTCCACTGTTTTCTCAGGCTGAGTACAACCTCTCATAATGAGTAACAGAACTTTTGTGTAAAGTTGGCGTAGTGCCTGGAGTTATGCTGCTTCATAACTTCATATAGATCTATGGATTTAATTGGTGGCAAGTTACACAATGATTCTCTCTATATATAGTGTGCTAATGTGAAGAAGGGGTCAGGGGTATTGTTATAAGAAATTGCTTTACCTAATACTAAAACTTGTGGGGAATCTGAATGGTGCTGTTTCCAACAAGACAAAATAAACAATGTTACCATGTGGCTGCTGAACTAAACAAACAAACAAACAAACAAACAAAAAGTTTTATCTCAGCAGTCAAGTGAGTATTGGACTTATATTCATCAAATCACCTTTGCCACGGATTCCCCCTTGTCTTTTTGGTTCCTTGAAAACAACATTTTAATCTCATGGGACTTTCTGGTTAAATTAATAAATACATTTGTTTTATTGTTCATGGATATTCCAGTTTGACCTGGTGTGCGGTGATCAGTGGAAGCAGCCATTCACCACCACAATTTTCTACCTGGGATTTCTTGCTGGATCCTTCTTCTCAGGACAGCTCTCGGACAGGTACTGAAAACACCATCTCACAATGAAATGATACCATGTTAAATTATTACCCAAGATGTCTCTTGTTCTTCTCACTCTAGGTTTGGAAGGAAGCCTGTTCTCTTCATCACCATGGCTCTTCAGACAATTTTTACTTTTTCTGAAATGTTTTCCCCTTCTTGGACGGTGTTCTCCATCCTCATCTTCTTCAATGGTTTGGGACATAACTCCAACTATGTGTCTGGTTTTGTGCTGGGTAAATGTGAACATTTCATGCTCTAGAAATAACAATGAATAATTTTATACAGTAGTCAGTGATTTTGAGTAATATACATATTGTGTGTACTTTAAGTGTCTTGTTGTATCACTGTTTATCGTTAATAGCTTTACATATTACCAGCATTTCTCTCTCTCTTTCTCTTTTTCTGCAGGCGCTGAGATCTTGACTGGAAAAGTGCGGGTGCTGTTTTCAACTATGGGTGTGTGTCTCGGCTTTGCCATTGGCTACATGCTGTTGCCTCTTTTCGCCTACTTTTTAAAGGACTGGAAATCTCTCCTGCTGGGTGTCTCTCTGTCTGGCCTGCTCTACATCCCTTTCTGGTGGTAGGTTGTAACCACAACAAAAAAATGGTAGGCTTACCTACCATGCACCATAAATGCCATGATCTTGCTCTTGTCAGGAGACAAAATAATAATTTGGCTCTTTCACTAGAGAAATAATCTAACTTGCATTCGCACTCTTTGTTGCTTTGTCTTCTAAGCCCCTCTGATCCAGCCTCTCTGTTTGTCTGTTGAAAACTGAGGCAGGTTCATCCCAGAGTCTCTTCGGTGGTTGCTCTCTCAGGGAAGAGTGGAGGAGGCCGAGGCCATAGTGAGAAAGGCTGCTAAGATGAACAAAGTTGAGGCTCCACAGGTGATCTTCGAAGATTACAGTGCATATGTAAGTCTGCTTTGATTGAAATCATGCAGCACAAGACACATATAAGTCTGCTTGACGACACGCATTGTTGGTACAGTTCATCCTGTAGGGAACCAAGGAAACTATAAAAAAAAGAGGAAGGGTCATTGCATCAGTGGCAGCATTCAAAATTTGTATTGCTGCCAGACTTAAGTCAATGGGGCAGGCATGGCAAGTCGCATTGTAAACCATCATATTTGTGCTGTTTCACTTCTGAAAAATATTTCTACTGAATAATAAAAATCTAAATGTGCACATTCGTTTTCCTTGTTAATGGTCTTCTAATAGATCATGGCTCGTTCAGAAGCTGCATAAAACTCAACTCAAGCCTGTTTTGTCCAGTACATCACGATACATGACCAAGTGGGGCAGGTCTGACCTATATCTTTGACCATACCGCTAGAACGCCTTACAGTCTGCCTCAGTGATTTACATTCATGCTCGTCAACTTCTCTATATGAGCTAGCATTCACATACTGACAGCGATTAAGCTAGAGAGGCTGAAACATTTGCTATCAATAACCTATACTGCAGGTTCCTGTCTGTTTCTTTTGCACCCTCACAAGAATTATTTCTTACAGACATCAGTGAGTTTATCTCCATATCAATGAAATGCGACTCAACAGAGATATTGCTGACTAAAGTTAGCTCAACAAACTGCAAATGCTAGCTTATTGGCAAACGAAGGAACAAGTATGTTTTAAAGATCCAGATTTATAATAATTTGCAGATTAGCGCCACCTCCTGTCAATAATAGGAAACACAGAGAGAATTTGTAAATTCATTCATTCATCCTTCATTCATTTTCTGTAACCGCTGGAGCCTATCCCAGCTGACACTGGGCGAGAGGCGAGGTACACCCTTGACAAGTTGCCAGACCATTACAGGGCTGACACATAGAGACAGACAACCATTAACGGTCACATTCACACACCTACAGCCAATTTAGAGTCACCAATTAACCTGCATGTCTTTGGACTGTGGGAGGAGGCCTGAGAACCCGGAGAAAACCCATGCTGCAAACTCCACAAAAAAGGGTTTCCCCACCCCTTGTTTGAACCTTGTAAATATTATCTAATATTACTTTCAGTTTGAAGGTTATGAATTAATGATTAAATACACACCAGCTGCATGTATGTGCTACACAGTGACAATCTGTGATCTGGTTAATTGAAGTCTGGTGTTGGGGTCAACATATATTTACCTCACTTGGCGGCACCATAAATGTTGGGGTCAACACATTAGGCTTCACACGGAGGCACCAAATATGTTGGGATTTAATTGGCTATCGGAAATAATTAATAATTATTATTAATAATTAATAATCGTGTTAAATAATGTGACTTAATTAACATTAAATCACCTCGTGGGGCACCATTCCCGTAAAGGGAAAAATGATAGCCAATTAAAGATAGTCTCATAAAATAGGCTAAACTATTAATTTGGAGTTTGATTAATAATTAAATTGATGACAACAGCCAAAACTAACAGTAACGCCTGAAGGATTTCGGAGTTCTTGACGCAGCAGAGGTTGACTATTCATTCACTCTTGTGCAATATTAAACAGACAGCAGGTATGATTCCAAAGAATTATATTTATTCACAAACTAGCAAAGCAAACCAAAACATACAAATTCTAACTAACTATATACAAGCTTGGTGTGTATATGTGTGTTGTGTGTGTGTGTGTGTGTGTGTGTGTGTGAGAGAGAGAAAGAAGAGAAAGACAAAGGCGGGTGTGGTGATCAAGGAGCCATTTGGCCTACAAAACAAAATGGCTGACAACAGAGAACTACCAAAATGGCCGAATCAAGGCTGGCTTCAGGGGGAGGTATTTGTCTGACCGTGTGGTCAGGACAAAGACAAAGGAAAAGAAGCGGGAACTTTGAGATGCCTGTTTGGATGTAGCTCTGTTGAAAGCCTATTTGTTAATGAGTCTATGTCAATGTGACATGTGTTGCAAATGGTCTGAATTAGTGCAGAGATTGTTTAGTTGAGTGCAAAATCTGTTTGTGAACAGTATTAGCAAACTAAACACTTAGCTTTGGTGAAGCCAACTGATCAATGACCTAACTGCAGTCTATCACAACAATACTCAGTAAACAGCATCAAATCACGTACAACAAGTTAAACAGTCTTGCTTAGCCTGTAAAGCTGTGATAAGCTATGCCCGGTTGTTACATTACCGATCCTTGAATGGATGGAGAAAAGAGTCACTTGGTGGTGTACTGCTTTGTTAGCCGGCAGAAGAAGGCTGGGAAGATGGTTCCAGCTGCAGTCTTTGTTGTGTCCTTTGTTCCAAAGGTTCTGATCCGAGGAAGCTGGTCGCTCGGGGTCCTTGCAGAGTTCGACGCTGGGTGCTAACTCACTTAGTTCCTTGTTGCTGGAAAGCTAGTTGCTTTGTGGCCTTGTGTTTGCAACAGAGTCTGTGATCAGTTGCCCTCCCTTTAGTAGTTCGGGCTATGGAGCAGGGGTTTGGGCCTCTGCTGTCCCAGGCCCAGCCGGAAAGAGGGGTGCAGCTGCTACAGCAGCTGGAGCAAGAAGAGCGGTGAGAGATCTGAAGGGAGCAAACCTTGTACAGATGCCTGTGACATCACAGAGTCACATGTCGCTGTAAAAGTACTGTCCAATCAAGTTGTGGGACTTGAGTCTCACTGAGGTGTGAGGTGAGATCTCCTGTGGAGATGGGTGTCACATAGCCCTCTTTGTTTGAAGACAAAGAGCATACAGAGGAAAAAGCCTTTAAATTGTCCAGTGATGATTCTACCAAATGATAAACCATCTGTGGTCCTGTGAATCCCAACACTGGTTAGTGATAATAGGTCATACCTACCACAATGGTCATGTATCTTGATATATTGGACCTAACAGGCTTGGGGGAGCTAACATTACGCAGCTGGCAGACAGAGCCTTGATCTGTTTGAAGACCAATAACAAGGACGCCAACATCATGTAATGTGTCTTTTCTTCTTTGGTGGACGCATTTTTCAGTCAAAGGTGAAAACAGCACAGATATGATGGGTAATTGTAGGACTTGTCATGCCTGCCCCATTAACTTTAATAGAGGTGGCACCAAAGTTGGGCACCAAAGCAAAATTTGAGTGCTGTATGGCACATGAATGTCTGTACCAAATTTCAAGGCGATATTTCATTCGGGACCCAGCTAAAACACAAGAAACTGCAGGTAGGACTGAGGTTTTATATCTTGCAGGCTGATGAGACAAAGACAGACCCGAAGAACCACCACAATATCTTCGACCTTCTGAGGACAAGAAACATCAGAAACATGACTCTCATTCTGTGCCTGGTGTGGTGAGTATCCAGTCTGAGAATTTCACCAAACACAGACAATTAGATTTTAGGCAATGTTCACAGTTACACACTGTGTATTGGACTGTTGTTGTGTTTTTTTCATAAACACCTCAGCATAATTTCAGTCCAATACAACACCAACACACATTACAGCCTAAATCTTAACAGCCAGAAACCACAGAGTTGTGCAGCCCTGCACAGGTCTAGACGTTCTGTTTGGTTATGCATTCAGCAATTGGCAGCGTTCACAAACGGGAAGCCAGAGGGTTCATGTCCCAGTAATTAGTGCCAAACCTTCCAGTGAAGCTCCTTTCTCGAAGGTGAAAGGACGTAATTGTGTGGAGTGTTAGATAGTAATACATTAGTAAGTACAGTAGAAATGGTCACAGTTTATATGGATCGCTTATATGGATCAAAAAGCTGGGGACAGAATCATTACTATACAAATGCTGTTTAAATAATTAGCTTCTGGTAATCAAGTAGTTCATTTACAGTGTTCATTTGGGTTTAGTGATAACAACAACTACTTAAACGATGCCATTCAAACATCTCTGTTGTCTGTGTCTCTGTCTTCACAGGGTCACTATTAATGCTGGATACAATGGCCTGTCCCTGAACACATCCCGACTCCATGCTGACCCCTACATCAGCTGTTTCCTCTCAGCAGCTGTAGAGGTACCAGCATACGTTTCCAGCTGGCTGTCGCTGCGATACCTTCCACGACGACTGTCTGTCATCTGCACCATGCTTATGGCAGGGATGTCGCTGTACTTCATTCAGCTGGTGCCTCAAAGTAAGCAGAGTCATGAAGTAGTGCATCACGGTACTGTCATATTTCCAAGCAAATATTTTTAGGCCGTAAATTGCACTCCTATAACATTGTCAGAGTCATAGAGGACAGTTTTAGAGACAAAGTCTTAGAAACAAACTAGAATTACCTTGCGGTTGTATGCCTCTGCGTACCAGTGAAGTTGCACTTTCAGTTTACATCCATGTCCGTGCTTCACACACATCTTTCCCTGGCAGCACAGAAGATGTATACAATCAGCACAGTTTCAAGGTGGACATCCAAGTTTGGTTACACCAATTCAGTATCTGACCAAATGTCTCCTCTTCTGTTCCCTAGATATGATGTTGGTCACATTGACCTTGACCTTGACCTTTGACCACCAATTGTCCTCACTTCATGCTTGAGTCCAAGTGGACATTTGTGCCACATTTCAGGAAACTCCCTCAAGGCCTTCTTGAAATATTGTGTACACTAGAATGAGATGGACACAAGGTCACAGTGACCTTGACCTTTGACTCCCCCAAATTCTAATCAGTTCAATATAAATTCTAAGTGGACGTTTATGTCAAATTTGCTTTTAAGATATCACGTTCATGAAAATAAGATGGATGCAAGGTCACATTGACCTTGAACCCTGACCACCAAAATCTAGTCAGTCCATAGTTGAGCCCAAGTGACCATTTGTGCCAAATTTGAAGAAATTCCCTCACAGTGTTTGTGAGATATTGCATTCACAAGAATGAGACAGACAAGGTCACAGTGACCTTGACCTTTGACCTATGGCCACCAAAAACTAACAAGTCAAGTTTTGAGTCCAAGTGGACGTTTGATTTTCCCTTAAGGCATTATTGAGATACCGCAGTCACGGGAAAGGGATGGATGGACAACCTGAACCTGATGGAAAACCATTTCTTCCATTTCAGGTTTATCTGAGCTGGCTGTTGCACTGGAGATGCTGGGTAAATATAGTCTTACCACAGGTATAGCCCTGATGTATGCCTACACAGCAGAGCTTTACCCAACAGTGCTCAGGAACACAGCAACAGGGACATGCACCACCGTTTCCAGAGTGGGCACCTGCGTTGTACCTTTCGTGTTACTGCTGGGTGAGTGAACTGTCTCTAATAGTAATTATTAGCATTTTTTTAATATGACTTAAACTTGGCACATGAATGTACATGAAGTACATGCTTATAGTACACATATGTAGGACCCAGGACCCCCCTCATCCTAATTTTCCCTTCTCCTTGGACAGGTGATTACTTTAGGTACATGCCTTATATCATACTCGGGTCTCTATCTGTCGTGTCTGCCTTCGCTACTCTCTTCCTACCAGAGAGTTTTGGACGACCTCTACCTCAAACTATTCAAGAGATGCAGAGAAGACAGAGGTCAGTTCCTTCAGGAATACAATACTGTTATCATATTTTTTATATGTAAAACCCCTCTGTGAGGATCTGACTTTGGCAGCTCCTTGAGGTAGTAGCAAACGAGAGATCATCTTGGAATGGGATCAATCCAGCCACGATACAACGATCTGTGACTTAAAACAGATGTGGGCCAGGACAGGCATTTAAACACCTGGCGAAATACTCAAAATCGCTTTTATGATAGTTCTCGCTTCAAAGGTATCACCATGACCACATCTGGCTATGATGACACACAGACTCACAATCCGTGGTCATGTTACTTCAGTGTTTGTATGGGCAAACTACAGCGTAATGCTTTATCAAATGGAATTGCTAATAATAGCTAAACTGGCTCAAACTGGTATTGCTGTCAGTATCTTGGTTGTCCAATTTGTACTTGAGACTGGCCAGCTGTCAGTCTACCACCAGATCTACCTGATGTGCAATGCAGTAAACTGAAGAGTAGCAAAATTAATCTATAAACCAGCGTGCATAGCTGGTCAAAATATTCTCTGTGGTTAACTGATTAAAAATTCACCATTGACATCAAATATCAAATACAAATGAAGATGTATTTTCAAGAAGCAAAGAAATTTTATGAGACTTAATGAAAAGAATTACAAAGCTGTATAAAGTGCTTTTTTATGTGTTTGTGAATTTGTGTCCTGGCTTTTTCCCTGGATGCTGCCCATTTCATGTTGGAACAGTTGTCTTTCTTAACATCAGGGACTACAGTGATCAGAGCTGAACAAATTACCCAGATACTGCAAACTATCTGTTGCTAATGAAAGACATGTCAAGTACAGATTACTCCTCTAATTCTACAACCCAAACCAGTCCCCCTCACCACCACCATCACCATCATGATTGAGAAGATGTGATGATGGTGGCATCAATCTTTGTAGTCAATGCACCTGTTCAAAATAATAATGAAGTTGGTAGAAGTGAAAATGTTCAAATGTTACAGCTTTTCTAGTTTTTCTGTCTGCGAAAAAAAACAACTGATGTTTTGCTTGTTTGTCTTTTGTCCCAACAGAATGAGGTGCCCATTCATCACAAGAAAGGAAAATTCAAAATCTACGGTGCTTTTCGAAAGTCAACTCTGATTGTCTCAAACATTACTTACAGAAGTTATTAATAAATATTGTAACTGAATATCGTTCTACTGTTTACTGTTCTTACTTTGAACATCTCTGTCAGCAAATCAGTACAAGTGGATTTAATTACATCACCAAGAATTGAAAGATTAAATTGTGCATGCATATTGTGCATGTTATCTCAGGTGAAACTACGTAACATATATATAAAAGAAAGGTAGGCTGCAAGAAATTGAGAAATTCTGACTTTTATCTGTGCAAAGATTTATTCTTTAAAATCTGAGATTCAAATGTACCCCAGGCCAACTAGATTAGGTATGCCACCAAAATGAAAGCCAAATGATGTCTATAAAGAAGGGGGAACAAACTTTTTACTGGCAAAGAAACATGAATCCACCAGCACAGAGCAAACTTGTCAGTGCATAGCGCAGAGTTTCCATTAGCGTAGTGAAAGATTTGACAGCAAACATGGTAGTGTATTGTTTTGGGATGTAAACCAGAACCTGGAGCTTCCTTTCACTGTCCACCAAAAAATAATAAATAAATAATGGACATGGTAGATGTAACTAGTTTGTAAACTCCCATTTTGAATCCTCAAGTTCGGCATTTTAGCCATCGTAATCCTGGATTTTGGGGCCAGAAGTGACCACATTTGGATGAGGAGCTGTGGAGGAGCAAGGGCTGGATCTGTTTTTAAGTTATTCATCAAAAATGAACCCATAGTTCTACCTTTGAATAAATTTAAAACATTTATGTTCTCTTTTCTAATACATCAGAATGTAAAATTGAAATAGCAGACTTAAAATATGGGGTGGAGTTTTACATGCAGTTATTTTCAAGGATTTTTGTATTGCTTTGTTTTTGTCTTATTTTAACATTTGCACGTACACTTACCACCGTAGATGGGTTGTAGCAGAATTGCCACCTTGTTTTCTTATAATGAAAGTTACACATTCAGCAATTCCAGAAGAGTGCTGTAGTGGTTATTATTACATTGTATTGCAATATTTTGATGATCACATCTTTTTCTACATCTTCTATATGAAGTAGAGAGAGGCTGATAAGGCAGTCTGGCTACAGTCCAGGGATTTATGTCAAGGTGTAATCAGCACAGGTAATGTAAGGACACAGTTGTAAATGTGATATTGTTGCTTGACAATTTCAGTCACTCGTTACACAGAATGACAGCATACACAACACATGCAGGTTCAAAATAAATGTTACCAATAACACTAATAAAGTGTGTGTGATTGTGACTGTGAGGTGGTGAATGGGAAACAGGAGCTGAGCAGATGCAGCAGGTACAGACTGGATGTGGTCAGAAACCTCTCTGCTCTGGGAACACTAGCAAAATCCTTGAGCACTTTAAAAACTGCTTGAAAGTCCTTGCTTTATATCAACCTGTGCTTTAAACTTTTATGTTCTAAAACCTGTAATATACACTTTTTAGAGTATGTTGCACCATTCGTACTGAAAACACCATCTCACACATCTCACAGTCAAATGATACCATGTTCTTAAAATCTCTTAATTCTACAAGCTATGATACACGTTTCTTAGAGTATGAAACAGGACTTTTCTTTGGTATTATGTTACTTTTGTTACCTTGCTTGGTGTTTTGTTATGTAATGCTGCATTACATATTGTTATGATCTCTGACCCTAGAGGTACACAGCAGATAAAAAAAATATTGGCCTTAATGTTGGGTATTTGTTCTTTGCACTTTTGCCTTGCTTTGACATCTTGTTTTTACTTTATTTACTATTTGCTCTTATTTCGTTGTTTAACTTCTCACTCAGTGTGTCTGGGTTTTGCCACTGGATACATGCCTACTTTTTAAGGGACTAGAAATCTCTCCTGCTGGGTGTCTCTCTGATTTGCCTGCTCTACATCCCCCTCAAGTGGTAGGTTGAAACCATAACAAAAAATGTACTCGTGGTTAGTTTACCGATTGTGCACCATAAATGGCATGATTTTGCCCTTGTCAGGAGACAAATAATGATTTGACTCTTTCACTAGAGAAAAATTCTAACATGCATTCACACCGTTCATTGCTTTGTCTTCTAAGCCCCTCTGATCCAGCCTGAACCTTTCTGTTTCTCTGTTGAAAACTGAGGCAGGTTCATCCCAGAGTCTCCTCGGTGGTTGCTCTCTCAGGGAAGAGTGGAGGAGGCTGAAGCCATAATGAGACAGGCTGCTAAGAAGAACAAAGTTGAGGCTCCATGGGGGATCTTTGGAGATTACAGTGCACATGTAAGTCTGCTTTGACTTAAATTATACAGAACAAGACACAAAATCCTTGATTGAAGACACGTTGTTAGTGCATTCACCCTGTAGGGACAATAATGTCTGTAACAAATTCTTTTAGCAGTTATTGTGGAGTCCGTCACTTCTCTGGACCAAAGTGGTGGACCTACAACCCAACCAGCTTAACTGAAGGTCTCAATATTGTAACCACAGTTCAGTTAGCACAGGTGGAGCCTTCTAATGGACTCTCTGGGTAATACTCTCCTCCAATCCTGAGCACATAACATAGCTTACCAATCAGGATGTGTCCACCTGAATATGTAATGACATCTGCTATCCTACATCCTCTTAAACTCGGATAGGAGCGACAGGGCCCCTAAGTTGTGGGCTCCACCTGTGCTATTAGAACTAGGGTTATTATATCATAACCTTGCTCTGTCTCATACAGGCTCCGCCCTCTGCTGGAGTCTATGGGTAAGTTATAGGAGCCTGATAAATAAACAAACGCCCTGTCACAACATAATGTTGACACACACACACACTGATCCTGACCAGCTAAAGGTTAGTTTCTTCTTTGTAATCTTGGCCTCTGCACTGGAGCAGTAGGGGAGTAGTATGCAACTTAACTGGTTAGAGCCATGGCATAAACTTGCAGGCATCTGAAGACAAGCATTAGACACCTTGCACACCACGGAGCACAGAAACATGTAGGTGTGTAATGCCCAGAGGGGAGCCAGGTGCAACACAACTGGCATACAACCAACCCCTTTCACCAGTCCATAAATATTGTTTGAGTGACTGTTATAAAGTTGCAACATTTATTGTTTTGCTAAACTAGTATTCTGCCAGCTATTGCACAGATGTTGGAAATAAACTGGATGACCTCTGTGCTGCATCAGTTACCAGCGGGATATCAGCAACTGTAATATCCTTTGATTTATCAAAAACCTGGCCAGCGCCATTCAACCAGGTGGCTCTTTTTCTATACGCCGATCTAACAGAGCCGAGGACTCTGGTATGAGAAGGAGCAGAGTCGAGTGCTTTATGGTGAATAAGGACCGGTTTGACGGTGGTAAGGAGAGGTGTTGTCCCCATCTTGCTATGGATCACTGCATTCGTTCAGAGACGGCTGCAGTGCGACTCTGCCTGTATTTTGGAGGAGTGACCATGTGGCTGTCTTGTTGAGGTTGGGGCATGTGGACAGTTACACCATTCTGCAGCCAGAAACCAAAAATCATTTTTACCACTATGCAAAGAAGGCAAATGATTAATCTCCTCAGTGATGTTTCAGTGCTACGGACAGGGCATGTCCAACTCACACCAGCAAACCCTTCACATAACTAACAGTACTGTCCATGGTTCTGAAGCAATTTACTAAGTTGTTTTGTTAACGTTTTTGTTATCTCATCATGAAAGAACTGCCAGGGATTTACCTGAACTTCCAGTGGGAGGAGAAGTGTGGATGAAGCCACTACCAGGCAACAGGACAGGCATCTGGCGGAGGTGAGTGTGTCTGCAGAAAGTGGCCCCTGAGGTGGAGGTCAAGGGCTCCTCCTATTATTGCAGTTGCACGGATCTATGTGTGGCAGAGCCGATGCTGTCACAAAACCCTAGGGCTGGTTCAGAAAGGCCTCCATCTGAAGGCAGTGGGTTTCAGCCACAGGCTGAGAGATCATGTGTGCTCAACCAACTCCCTGCAGGCTCTACAGCAGTCTACATGGCTCTGACTTTGGACACATGTTGTTATGGGTGGTATTTTAGCACCACCTTTTAGATGTTTAGTGGTAGTGCACTTCGTCTGTGGCTTTTGCATTCCTGACCGTTCGCCACTAAAGCCTGTTCTTGTTGTCATGTTCAAGGATTTTTTTTGTCTTGCACTGTTTTATCTATTTTTACATTTATACATATCATCTTACATTGTGAAGATGAACTGATGAACACAAGACATTCACTAAAAGCTGTTAATATATGGTTTAAGTGTCAGGCAAAGCTCACATCTGTTACAAAATGTATTTTGGTTACAGAAATAAATGTAGATATGTTTAATGCATACAGGCTGCAGGCTTATTATCCTTTTTTTTTAAATTTAAGATATTTTTATGGGGATTTTTTGCCATTGGTTGATGGGACAGTGGAGTGTGGGGGAGGGGGGGGGGGGGGGGAGTGGCATGCAGCAGAGGGCTGCAGGCTGGAGTCAAACCCGGGCGGCAACGGCCTTGTACATGGGGCACCTGCTCTACCACCGACGCCTCAGGCTTGTTATCCTTAATGGGGAATAACACGAAATACTGGTTAGACGGCTGTTAATAAATGTTTAAGTAGTCAAGCAAAAGGAGCAAAGTTCGCTTATTTCTTGTCCTTATCTGACACAAGTGACTGTTCAACAAGCTTTTACATGAGAAAAGTAACTTTTAGATACCTTTGTAATGTGTAACCTGGTGAGGACAATAAAAAACAGGATAGCAATTTGGCTTTGAGAACTCTCAGAATGGGTATGACACGAAAGCTTTTCCACTGTTGTAAGCTGCAGTTTTTTTCAGACCTGTTTCTGTTTGAACTAGAATAAGAGTGACATGTTTAATGTTGTTGCATTCTGCAATAGCTATAACATTGGAGTGTAGTGTTTCCTAGCACAAATAATTGCTCGGGAAAGGTAAACTTTCACTGTAACTTTGCTTTTTTTTCATCATCCCTTTGGTACGCATGCTTCATCTAGTACAGGGCGTGGCTAGCTTCCCAGTGACATGAAGGCAAACTCGTCTGTTTTTTTCTGTTGCCGTTGAAAAAGAAGTGGTCTACAGGTTACAGGCTGTGGAAGAGATCGTTAGGATTCTGATATGAAGAATTATGATGACACCATATCTTTTCTGGGTCAGTGGGGCAGCTTTCAGCAGACTGTCTTCTTCCTGCTCGGTGTCAGCATCATGCCCAATGGATTTGGAACTTTGTCTCTTGTCTTCTTGACTGCTACTCCCAGTCACCACTGTCTGGTTCCTGAGGTTAACCTGTCCCAAGATTGGCGCAATGCTATCATCCCGATAGAGGTAATTAGGTTTTTTGAACCTTTGCACATTGAACAGAAATTGAGCTATTGAAAAAATGCCTTGTTGTGGTCATGGCAGGCATTTTACCGACATAATTGAATTTTGTAGGGTTAAGGTCCATCCAACCTCAATCTGTTAGATTCTGACATATTTGATGCCACTGCGAGTGCTTGTCCACAGCAGTATCCTCCTTGGTACACTGCTACGCCAGTGCGTCCTTAGTTTGGGGGATTTGCTCCATTCCTCTTTCTCTATTTATGAATAGCTCAGGACGAGCTTGACTGATGTTGAGTTGGTTGCTGTTGAGTTCATTGAGGATAACGCAATGGAAACGACCTCCTCTGGAATGCTTTTTGGAGCCTTTGACAGAGCCATAATGCCTTTGTCATGATATCATTAACATTCCAGCTATCCCATGCAGTCTTCTTTGCCCTAGTTGGAAATACAGATACTGTATCACAGCTACTGAAGGCAAGTTACGCAGTATGGGCCTTGGATTGCAAGAGACTTGGAAATTTCATGGGCAGGTATGTATCTTAAGTTCTTGCTCGTTGCAAATGCCACCCACAGCCCCTCAGTGTCCAGCTCTGAGAGATGTGCAGAGGCTAGGACCACAACATCTATGTCTACATCTTCTTCTGGGTGAGATGATAGAGCACTGGGTGTGCAAGTGGAAATGACCCATGCAAGTGGCAGCCAAACAGAGGCTTTTATACTGTATCAAAGGCTCTGAAAAATGTTCCAGAGAAGGTCATACCCATTCTGGAGCACTTCACAATTCTCCTCTAATCTCACCAACAGCCAGCTCAACACTGATCAAGCTCCTCTTGAGTTCACAAAAAAGGAATGGAACAAATCTCCCCAAAGAAAGATGCACTGGTACAGAAACCCTGAAGAGCAGTGTACCATACTGTAGGGGACAAGAACCTGGGGAGGCACCTAATATGCCATCTCCAACAGACGTGTGTGGTCATACAGCGCAGGTACTGTAAGGACACAGTTGTCAATGCCATGTTAATGCATCACAATTTCACCCCATTTCCTGTGTGTATTATTGTGACTGTGAGGTGGTGAATGGGAAACAGGAGCTGAGCAGATGCAGCAGGTACAGGCTGGATGTGGTCGAAAATCTCTCTGCTCAGGGATTCATTCCTGGCAGGGACGTCAACCTCACTGACCTGGAGCAGGAGGGCTGTGTGGATGGGTGGAGCTACAGCAAAGACATCTACCAATCCACAGTTGTCTCTGAGGTAAGAATGTACATCGAGCATGGGATCGTTGTTGGTAGAATTTAAGATCTAGTATAGTGGCAACATCAGAAATAGTAACTGAACTATAGTGATGTAAAACCTGACCAGATCACATCATACACTCTGTGGACAGAGGGATAATTGTCCAACTGTGTACACAACTCGTTACAGTCTTGCTCAAGAAGGAAAATTGGTTGGTTTTTCAGCAACCATTTGATTTAGGTCCTTTTTCTTCATTAACAGCGAGATACCGCATGCTTTTGCAAGGTGGGGAAAGTCCCAACCAGTGAGAATGTGTTCATAATGTTAAATATAATTAGTGAAAACTAAGTTAAGACAGGCTTAAACAGATTAGCAGCTTCATAACATCATTTAGATCTATGGAAATAAACAACCTGTTCTCACCCCGGAGTCACTTGGGCAGTCTTCCTGTGACGAAAAAAAGCTGTGCTTTAACGTTGGCGTGATACATGACATGACTCGTGGCTGTTTTGATTTAATGGCGTCAGGGGGAAGTGCGGTGGGACAAGAATGAAAGTGAAGGCGGCGAAAGTCCGACAAGGGCAGGTGTGAGGGGTGGTGGATGGCTCTAACACCGAGAGTGGTGTTTGTGTCCTGTAAGATTATAATGCCAAACCCGGTTCTGTTTTCCTAAACCAACCACGTGTTTTGTTGCCTAAACCCAACCATGTGCGTTAGTTGTTGGAGGAAAAAAAAACATAAATTTCTGTTGTTGTACTGACCCAATGAGTTTATTTTGAAGGAGACTGCATGTAAATGGTATTTGAAAGAAGACAATGCATGTAACAGGCATAACTCTACACGGTGTCCCAGAACATCAACCAACGCACCCAGGGTACCTTTCACGTTGTATCTGGACGTGTAAGGTCAGTGACCAAACATTAATATGTGACGAGGTCTGAGTGAGAATGCTGTGAGTTGACACATGACAAGTTACACAGTGATCTCTTTATAGTGTGTTAACACTATGATGAAGGGGTCAGTGCACTGAAGTGTTGAAGCAGTTTTTATAATAATACCATGGTATTATAAGAAATTGCTTGATTTTTTTATGGAAAAACAAGTTAACCAGATACATGTTATTAAAGGGATAGTGCACCCAAAAATGAAAATTCAGCCATTATCTACTCACCCATATGCCAACGGACTGCTTCTCTGTGTGCGCGCTCAGGGTGATCGGTGATCTCTGAAGAGCAGCAGTCTCGTCAGTACTGATGTCCAGATTCTCAAGTGCAGGCATCACCAATTCCCAGTCTGAGCAGCAAAGACTTTCCTCATCCGTTGGCATTGCTTTGCATTTGAAATAACTACACCACCAGGTTTCCAGTGCTCGACTCCGGTATTCTACGGCTGGCTGAGGGTTAGGCTCATGAGCTGCGGCGACTGCTTCGTCCAGTAGCCTGAGTTTCGTCCATATACTCGGGCTCAAACAAATATGGCTCAACAAAGAAATGCTGTTCCTCCTCAGTTTCAAAGTCTTCAGACATGTTGGGCTGTCCTTTGCTAAAAGACCGTAGTGCAAATTATATTTTAGCTCTGTGGTTACGTTGTCTCCCCCTGCGGTGCACGTGTCACGTGATGTAAACATGGGTGAGCAAAACTCATGCTTTCGCTGGTCTCGCGCAGGTGCGCACACGTGAGCGCGGAGCACAGAGAAGCAGTCAGAGCTACAGGCTACAGTGAGGCTAAAAACAGAGCTCATATGACGTTTTTCGAAACAACTTTTTATGTCGGGGCTGCAGCACACTTGGATCACTACGGATGAGCAGTATGGAGATACTTTGTGGATTCAATTTTGTGTTCTTGGACGTTAGTCTGGGGCACCGTCTGCCATTAGGTGTGCTAGCTGCTCCCCCCACCGATCTCCACAAGGGATGTGAGCACTCTAAAACTTCACCAGGGCCTCCGTCGGCATATGGGTGAGTAGATAATGGCTGAATTTTTATTTTTGGGTGCACTATCCCTTTAAGGTTTCTGCCAAAAGGAAATGAAGTCAGACAGCAGGTAAACATGTTACCATGTGGCTGCTGAACTTCTCAGAAGTTAAGAGAAACAGGGTTAAAAGGCTTACATTCACCAAATGGCCTTTACCATGGACTCTCACAGTCTGTAAATTTAAGTGTTTAATTGTTCCTGCATGGATATTGCAGTTTGACCTGGTGTGCAGGGATCAGTGGAAGGAGCCGCTCACCTCCACAATTTTCTTTCTGGGATTTCTATGTGGATCCTTCGTCTCAGGACAGCTCTCAGACAGGTACTGAAAACACCATCTTACAGTCAAATGATACCATGTTCTTAAAATCTCTTAATTCTACAAGATATGATACACATTTCTTATGTAACAAGACTTCTCCTCGGTATTATGTTACCTTGCTTGGTGTTTTGTTACGTAATGCTGCATTACATATTGTTATGATCTCTGATCCTAGAGGTACACAGCAGATAAAAAAGTATTCCTTAATGTTGGGTTTTTGTTCTTTGCACTTTTGTCTTGCTTTAACATCTTGTTTGGGTGCCTGCTGTGCAACAGCAATGCAACTATATATATAGTCTGTTGCGTTTATTCTTATACTTCTTAAACCTCTTACTCTTCTTCCACCTCATTTTTTGTCATGCCACTCCTCCCGCAGCATTGCCAACATGTAGGTAAAAGATACGTCAAAACGTGCAAAATTATCAGGAGTGGTGTGATGTGACCTTTCTCTGAGATTCGCCAAATGGTTTTTATGAAAATCGCAAAAAAAACCTATGTAAATATTTTATAGTAGGTTTCTATGGGACAGAGCTAGAGTGTGTGACATCATCGCTGTGTGGAGGAGCTGAAAGATATTCCAAAAAAATTCTGAACAAATTGCTCTCACTGCCACAGTTTTCACTGTACATACACAATTCACACATCAAATTGTAGGAAAAATTGTGCTTGTCACAGAGATGTGACAATGGAATCACACACACTTACACATTTGGCTCAATGAGCCTCCAAGTAAAGGGAGAGCCATTTTTTGGTTTATTCACTCCTATAGGCCCGTTTCCACTGAAGAAGTTCCTGGTACTATTTGGGGGGCAGGAACTACGACAGGAACGTCCTCTCCCTCGGCCCTCTCAACCGCCGTGTCTCCACTGAGAGAGCAGAGTAGGGGGAAGGTTCCTGTAAAGTTACCGGGCTCTGTATGTGACGTAATCATTGTGCGACCATTTTGACCGGGGTGACGTAGGGGCGTAGGGACGCCGTTAGCCGTTAGCGGTGTCTGTAATAACTCCAGTCAAGGTCTGTGAAAAAAATATTTTTTCCAGCGGATTTCTTAGTTACAACATGATTGAGCTAACTGGAGTAGTTTCATGTCGTATCCGACAACGGGAGGCTTTTAACAGATGACGTCCTGATGTTAGCTTTGCTGCTGCTGTTAGCTGTCCCTGTCAGCTGATGCTTTCTAGACATCATGATTTCCCAAAACTGAATAAATACCACACATAGCAACACAAAACTGCTTTGCTAGCTCAATCATGTTGTAACTAAGATATCCCATGGAAAAAATATTTTTTTTCACGGACTGTGACTGGAGTTATTACAGACACCGCTAACAGCTAACGGTCAGCCCAGCTAATCTACGATAACCATGTTATTAATTACAAAACGTCACATCCTGCCTTGAGTATATCCAATCAGCACCAAGTAATCCTCAAGCCCCAGCCAGGAGTTTCTCTGGGCCGTTCTGAGTACCTACTCCGAGGCAGGGACTTGTTTAGCCCCTGTAAAATTCCCGGAACTCTGTCCTTCGGGGGTGGTTCCTGCGGTGGAGACACGCACCAACGGCCCCAGCCCCGTAAAATTACCCCGAAGTTCCTGTGGTGGAAATGGGCCTTATGTATATGTGTATAAATAGCCGGGGACACCAGTTTTCTAACCTGTGAACATGATCACATTTTTGGCACCACAATAATAAAACAAAAATTTAGGCATTTGGGTGAATCTCCTCTCTCTGGTGGTATCTATATGTTAATGATTGGACTCATGGTTTTGGCAGGAAAAGGAAGAGTTTGAGAGGTTTCAACTCTATTAAAGCAGTTGCCTGCTCTGAGCAGATGACTGCCCCTCCTCCCTCCACTCTCTCAGAGGGACCCATTGATTACCATAGCAAAGACCACTGACATAAACTCACAGACATGTTGGTGTGTGTGTGTGTGTGTGTGTGTGTGTGTGTGTGTGTGTGTGTGTGTGTGTTTGTGTGTCTCAGAGATGACAGCAGCAGATTCTCCATTTTAAACAGCATGTAAACATTATATATCAGAGCTTTGCATCTATCGTATACGACTTCAGACTTGACTACTAATACAACTGTTGCTTTACTGTTACGTTTGGGATTATACATGTGAAATACATATTGTGATGTATTGTAAATACATATAATATTATACACACAGCACTTCTCGTAAGCAGAACAGTGACTCAGCTACTGCTACTTAGTACTTGGTGGCACTTGGTGTTTCTTGCAAAATTTTCTATTTAAAAAAAAAAATCTTAATTGTTGTTTGACTTCTCACTCTAGGTTTGGAAGAAAGCCTGTTCTCTTTGCCACCATGGCCATTCAGACAGTTTTTACCTTTGCTGAAATCTTTTCACCTTCTTGGACGGTGTTCTCCAGCCTCATCTTCATCAGTGCTGTCGGACAGGTCTCCAACTATATATCTGCTTTTGTGCTGGGTAAATGTGAACATTTCATGCTCCAGTAACAACAGATATTACTGTTATACAACAGTTAGTGACTTTAAATGTACAGGCAGCATATTGTGTGTAATGTGTCTTTTTGTATCACCACTGATCACTACTATTGTCATCTATTACCTGCACTACCGCATTGAATTACTCTCTTTCTCTTTTTGTGCAGGCAGTGAGATCTTGACTGGAAATGTTCGTGTCCTGTTCTCATCTATGGGTGTGTGTGTGGCCTTTGCCTTTGGCTACATGGTGCTTCCACCCATTGCCTACTTTTTAAGGGACTGGAAATCCCTCCTGCTGGGGTCCACTCTGATTTGCCTGATCTATGCCCCCCTCTGGTGGTAGGATGTACTCATAACAAAAAATGTACCGGTATTCATGGTCAGCTTAGTCTGAGTGGGTGGAAGTTCGCTGCATAGATCAGCCTCCCATTGGGTGGAAGGAGCCACCCGCTGAAGTCCCACCCTACCACCTCCGGTTGTGTAGCAGTTTTCAACACGTCCTTTACTAACTTTTGCGGTGTTTGATCTTGCGGGGATGTAGCCATTTTTCTGCCATGGTTCGCATCCTGTAGGCGTTATTTTTGTGGGCGTGTTACACCAAAACCTGTTTAACCCTGGCAATATTTTTGCAAGCGCACCGTTGATGTGGCACCGGCAAGAACGATTGTGATTGGTTTAAAGAATTTTAAAAAGCCGGGGCGTTTTTTCCTCCAATCTTAAAGTGAGAGTCGGCGCAGCCAGACCTTTGTTTTCTTGAGAAAGGTCTGGTGAGCGAGACTATAGTCAGCTTAGCTACCATGCACCATAAATGTCATGATTTTGCTCTTGTCAGGAGGCAAATAATGATTTGACTCTTACACTAGAGAAATATTCTAACTTGCAGTCACCCTCTTTGTTGCCATGTCCTCTAAGCTCCTCTGATCCAGACTTTCTGTTTGTCTGTTGAAAACTGAGGCAGGTTCATCCCAGAGTCTCCTCGATGGTTGCTCTCACAGGGAAGAGTGGAGGAGGCTGAGGCCATAGTGAGAAAGGCTGCTAAGAAGAACAGAGTCGAGGCTCCACTGGTGATCTTTGAAGATTGCATTGCATATGTAAATCTACTTTCACTTTAAATCATGCAGAACAAGACACAGAGGCCTGCTTGAGGACACATATTGTTGGTGCATTTACCCTGTAGGGACAATAATGTCTGTAACAAATTTCCTTGCATTTCTTTTAGCAGTTATTTAGATATTTTATTCTGGACCCAAGTGGTGGAAAGACAGATCGACCAGCTGAAACAACAAACTGGTTTTCTATCTTGCAGGCTGATGAGACAGAGATGCACTCCAAGGAACAACACAATATCTTCGACCTGCTGAGGACAAAAAACATCAGGAACATAACTCTTATTCTGTGCCTTATATGGTGAGTATCCAGTCTGAGAATTTCACCAAACAGACAATTAGATTTTAGGCTTCTGCTTGGTTATACATTCAACAAACACAATTGGCAGTATTCACCGGTGGGAGGCCACTGAGTTCATGTCTGTGTCACTGTCGTCATAACTCCTGTTAGTTAGTCCCAAACCTCCCAGTGAAGCTCCTCACTGGGAGGTGAAAAGAATTGTAAAAAATGTTAGACAGTAACACAGCAATAAATAACACATTACAGTTATGGGATTACTTGATTTGGCAATGAGTAGTGTTCTGGATAATGATTTGCAGGGAAATTGTACTGGATTGTAGACTGCACAGATGCTTATAAAGTGGTTCCTCTGAGTATTCTTCTAAATTTACATGTCATTAAAAAAAAGAATGAAGTTTAAATGTCTGCGTAACTGCATACTCACAGCAGGTATGCATTGTGTGGTACCAGCAAACACCTGCATAGGTGCTTTTTTGGGCCTCTTTGTAGCTTATGTCAGTTGTTATCCTAAGAAATTTAATTCTTAAAATATCCATTGACACTGATCAACTAATCAGTGTTATAAATGTTTATTCTACTTCATTCTACTATATTTTCGTCTTCACAGGAGCACTTTGAATACTGGATACTACGGCCTGTCCCTGAACTCGGCTGAGCTTCATGCTAACCCGTACATAAGCAGTTTCCTCTCAGCAGCTGTGGAGGTACCAGCATACATTTTCTGCTGGGTGGTAGTGCGATACTTTCCACGACGACTGTCTGTCACCTGTCTCTTGCTGCTCGGAGGAGTGTCACTGTTCTTAATTCAACTAGTACCCCAAAGTAAGCAGTGTCATGACATGGTGCATCACGGTACTGTCATGTTTCTGAGCAAGTATTTTTGGGCCTAACAAAAGTACACAACATTGCACTCATATATCATTGTCAGACTCACAATGGACAGTATGAAAATATAGTGATGCAGAACCAGAGATATCATTTTCATTCCACACATTACTCTCAACTGTTATCTGGCACCTCCATTACCCATAATGCAATTCTACTGCCAACAGTTCAGTCGGCAATCCGGGGAGTTATGGTATTAGCAGCTAATAATGTAGCCTTGAGCTGTTAGCCTCAAACAGAGATGAGGAGCAGGGTAGGCTATAAAGGTATGGTAAGCTTGATTCTTTCCCTCCGAGGGCTTTTTCATTTTCAGACTAAGTCTACAGTCCCAGCTGTGGCTGACTCAAGTGACATCATTTGAGGCAGTTTCTCATATTTCAAGCAGCTCCCTCTGGAACCAAAAGGTTTTCTGCAACTTTTTTCACATAGGCTATGCAGTAGTATTTCCTAAGACCTGTAAACAGACTCTGACTTGTAAAATCAGCAGAATTTCCCTTTATGACAGTTTGTAAGTTAGAAGATTGTCAAAGGGGCTCTATGCAAAATTCTGAGCGTATCAGCTGTAGCCTATAGACACAGTTCTCAACATGGAAGTGGCTGAGCCAGCAGCTAGCAGCTAATGGTGCTAACTCCATCAATGGCACTAAACAACAGCAACAGTGCTGACAGAGTTAAAGTTGTTTACCTGGGGAATCTGTACCAGAGTAGATCATACATTGACAGACTTTCTTTTCTGCTTCATGCTCCTCTTAGACAAACCATTTTTTACGTTTCAGGTTTATCAGATCTGGCTGTTGCTCTGGAAATGGTGGGTAAATTTGGTTTGTCCACCGGTGCAGCCCTGATCTATATCTACACAGCAGAGATTTACCCAACAGTGCTGAGGAACACTGCGACAGGGACATGCTCGTCTGTTTCCAGAGTGGTTATCTGCATTATGCCCTTTATATTAAAGCTGAGTAAGTAAACTGGTCTTAATAGTAAATATAGCAAGAAGCAGCAATGATCAGGATCCAAGCACATTGCAACCATCAAGTCTGTTTCTTACTCAATTGACAGAACTCTTGATTTTAATTCAAATATGTAGCTTATGACCTCCTGTGAAAATGTGTTTCACATAACTACATTTGTTTTTCATTTTTATTTTGTCCATGCATCCCATGTCTAGGTATCTATTTAAAGTAATGCTTCTATGTGACAAGTGTCAAAACTCATTCTGGAAAATGCAAAGTTCTATCTCACACAAGCTCCGCCCTCTACTGGATTCTAGTGGTAATACTCCTTCAATCACAAGCATAAATTCACCCACTGAGATTTGCATAAACATAGCCTGCAAATCTGGACGTGCCCACCCAAATATGTGCAGACCCCACAGTACATAAGGCAGCACACGAGGTAACTCGGCCAAGGCCGGGCTACTCTCTCCGGTTCTGACGCCTTCCTCCTCCGTTCAAGGAGGTAAATCTAACCTCCCAGAAAGAAATAGATTACCTCCCTGCAGAGATCCAGGACCTGTTACAAAAAACAGACTGTGTCTGTCATCCCCACTCACGACAGACAGAAGACAGAACAGGACGACCTGGATAATGGGGGTCCCTACAACACCTGTTGCAGGGAACAATGCTGTGACGAGTGACCTGCCACATAACGGTGTTCATGACGGCGTCCCTGACAGGTTGGGGAGGGACCTGTCTGGAGAGAGTAGTAGATGACGTGTGGCCTCCAACTGAGGTCCGACACATCAACTTCCTTGGGATAAAGGCAGTATTTTTGTCCTCCAACACCTCGTACTCTTTGACACAGGGGAAGCATGTATTGGTTTGAACCAACAACTGCAACGTGGTGGCCTACATCAACAGACAGGGTGGAGTTCGGTTTGCTGCCCTGCTGAGGATGGTGGAGAGCCATGTCAAGGAGTGGTTTGCTACCAGATGAGTGGAGGCTTCACCACATGGTGGTGAGGCAGATCGAGACTCTGATCGGGAAAGGAGAAGTGAATCTGTTTGCCCGCTGGCGCAACACTCACTGCTCGAGATGGTTTTCTCTGGCACCACAAGATGATCCCCCAAACATGAGCCTGTGTGGACAAATTTGCAAATGTGCCATGGCCAAGAAAACTTCATGCCCCTCCATGTCATCTTTCCCCTGTTGGAGAGTGAGCCAGGAGCAGTTGTCAGTCATTTGGTAGCCTCAGGTCTCTGCCCAGCACTGTGGTATGCAGAAATGACTCAAATGGTGAAGGCCTAGCCCTGGACCATCCCCCAGTTCAGGAGGACTATATGATAGGTGCATTGTCAGGCAGGCTGAGGAGGGCTAGATCATCTGTGCAGATTGTGCAAAAAGAAGTAGAAAGAATAAAAAGGAGTGCCGCTGCTTAGACCCCTAATTAATAGCATTGTTGAACCTGAATTTTTCTTAGTGTATTGACAAATTTTCACATAGCAACTGATTTTACCTATTTTTAATTTGGATGCTTCGGCGAACACATAGAGTAAATGCTTGCATTGCACATAAGCAGGACTCAGGACCTCCCTCATCCTAATTTTCTCCTCTCCTTGTACAGGTGTATACTTTAAGTACCTGCCTTATATAATCCTGGGGACTCTGTCTGTTGTGTCTGCCTTCGCTGCTCTCTTCCTGCCAGAGAGTTTTGGACGACCTCTACCTCAAACTATTCAAGAGATGCATAAGAGAGAACGTTGGGTTCTTAAAGGAATATAAAGCCCCTATGTGTGGATTTGACTTTGGCAACTCTAAAAGGTATAGTCACAAAAAGACAGAATGACATATGAATTTATAAATTCTTAACATAACAATCATCAAAAATCAGCTCAGCTGTTTAGGTTTAGGTAACTTTAGGGTTTGCCTTAAGAGCTTTACTAGAGTATATACAGTATGTGTTAGGCACTGTTGTTACAATGTGAGAAGGTCATTTCAAATGTCAGCCCAGGTCCTCTCTCTGTAAAGGGTCATGCTTCTCCCAAGTTAAACACATTAGTTGTTTGTGGATTTTAAATTTTGAGGCCAAAAAGGCAGGTGCTTGAGCACCACTATTGGTCCATCTGTTGGTGGCTTCCTGTCGTGGATTTGTCCATGGATCCTGTTCAGTTTATGTTAGAATAGTTGTCTTTCTTTGCCTAAGGAACTACAGTCATTGTAGCAGAACAAATTACCCATTTGTTGTACTTCAACTACTGAAAAACATGTGACATGTAATAATTTTAGTGTGTGTTTGAGGTTTGTCCCCAGAAAAACCAACTTGACTAGAATATAGCGACTAAAACAACAACAAGAGTATTATTAAATATAACAACCAATGCTGATCCCCCTTATCATCATTAGGCGCTGTCATCATCATCATCATCATCATCATGACTCTGAGATGATGTGATAATGATTACAACAGTTTTTATAGTGCATCTTTTTAAATTTTCCTGTATGCTGAAAACTAACTCATGTTTTGTTTGTTTGTCTTTTGTCCCAACAGCAAGAAGAGTCCATTCATCACAAGAATCAAAAGATATGGTGCTTTTCGAAAGTCAGCTCTTTACATGAGTTACTAAGCATACGATTCCTTCTATTTACCATTTTTATGATCAAACATTTCCATCCCATAAGTTCAGTCAGAACAAGTGGATTCAATGGCATTATATGACATTTCACTGCACTCTATGCATGTTATCTCAAATCATAAAGATGTCTACAAAATATCCATGAAAAATTGAAGTGTGAAACATACACAAGTAAAACTGTAGACTACTGGCTCTGTTATTTTATGGAACTATTTTCAGTAAACTTTTACAGTAAACAGCAGTATTATGTCATGGTATTAGTCACATTGGCACTGAACATGTATAATGCTTAGTTAATTTAAGGCACACCTATCATCTGAATAACTGTCAGGTTTCGTGGTTCTATTAAAGTCACATACTTTCACAAATCCAGAGACAATAACAACTCTTTTAGTTATTCTTTAAGAGTGTCCGTGATGTTTGTCCAGTTATTTTCCTTGAACTGTGTATCACTGCTGCTCCTTGTTCAAGGAGACTTCATTTCATCATTGTGTGAGTCTATAAAATGTCTTCTGACAGCATCCAGAGTAAAAACAAAGCAATTATACAGTTGCAGTAATGAATTACAGACATAGAACAGTGCAGTCCAGGCCAGGTTTTAAACTTACTGTAGGTGAACTACCTTACACAGTTTTGCTTAAATTGTCCTGCATCAGGATGGATGGCTGACCTGCTCACACCTTAAGAATGAGCCTCAGATGACAGAGAAACAGGGTATCTCCTGGAAACTGAACTACTGCAGGAATGGCGTGCACTTTTCAGCACTGAAAGAATTACTGAATTCCAAAAAATTACACTAATTTTCTATAAGTTACAACAAGTAGGTCTGAAGCATTTATTAAGCACAATATTTTTCATATGCATTGCAATACGTATACTGCAATCTCTGGCTGTTGTGTCAGCCTTTGCTGCTTTTCCCTTCTTTCCAGAATGATTGGATGACTTCTACCTGAAACTATACAACAGATGCAGAAAAGAGAAAGGTAGGCTGCTGAAGAAATACACCTATGTTGGGAAGCTAAGATATGATAGATGGTTTATATGTGTAATAGCTATGTTTACAGTGTGGTACTGTAAGAGCTCCTACACCACTGGCCAGAGTAAGCAATTGTTTGCCAATATGGTCAACATATTACCTCACACTTGCTTCCTCTGCCCCAAAGTGGCCAAAAAAAAAAATCTGTTTTGTAGGTTGAAGGTGTAGAGGCAGATAATGTATCATTTTATACCAAAGGTGAAAAAATAAGGTCAGTTACACAAGGTTTAGGAAGCAGCTGGTCAAGGGATATCGGTATGCAGTGACCTCTTGGAGAACCCAGCCGCGCACAGTGACTGAGATTTTCAGGGTGTTTTTATCCTAGCCAATTCAGAATTTGTCTGTCATTTTTCTGCCTGTCACCCCACGCAGGGAGGATGCTCTTAGGAGTCACCACAAACAGTCATCTCTGAAGGGAAGATGGCGGTCGGCTGTGACTCCGAGGTGACTCCCTGCGTGGGGTGACAGGCGCGCCAAACAAAAGGTAAGGACTTTTAAAACTCCTTACACAAATTCTGAAGTGGTTGAGATAAAAACACCCTGAAAATCTCAGTCACTGTGCGAGGCTGGGTGCTCCAAGAGGTCACTGTATACCGATATCCCTCGCAGACAGAGAACTTGTCAGGGGGAGGGAGAGCAAAGGAGAAAAGAGAGCCAGACTTCTGTGCACAGAACAGCTGCTAAGAGACGAGCTAAACTCAAGAGAGTGAAGCAGAATTTGATTGTGAGTGATTGGCATTGTGTCTAAAACGAAACAGCCAGAAGTTAAAAGAGCAGCTGGGGAAATAGACGGTTGGTCAAGCCTGAGGGGGGCCAAGTCGTGTGTTGGAAGTCTAGAGAGACTTCGGGTCCAGAGGGACCCAGAGTAAATCCAGAGGGATTTAAGAGGTCTAAGAGAGACCAGGATTAGAGTCCAGAGGGATTTAAGAGTTAGTTTCAGGCAGTCTAGAGAGACCGAGATCCCATGTCCAGAGGGATATAGTTTAGATAGGGATTTTTATGCGAGTCTAGAGAAAGACGGCGCAGACTTTGTCAGGTTTGAGTGAAACCTGAGGCTTCTTGCTATTTCCGGCAATTGGAGAAATAGCTACCCCCACTTTGACAGTTTTGAGTGAAAACTGTGGCCGAGGTTCGGGCAATCGCAGAACTAATTCACTGTTGAGCAGAGTGTTGGCAGTAACGATTAGTGGCACAAATTGATGACTCTAAATTCAGAAAGGGTGCCAAGAGATAGGAGCGCCGAGAGAGGCAGTTAAGCTCCTATGAACCAGGAGATGGTCTGAAGAGAAGAGATCATAAGCTGATATAGACAATAAAATATAGAAAAAGGCCTATAAATAGAGAAAATATAAATGAATCCAGCTGGAATAAAATACGGATAACACCAGTATAGTAATCACCTCATGCACATGAATCCAAATTGAACAATCTAAAGATGCAAATTTCAGATAAGGCAAAGTATTTTTTGTGTGTGTGGAAAACTGTCTATTTGGATGTCATATGAAATACTGTGTAATTGCTTGTACGGTGTGTTGAGCTCATGTATGAATGTGTGAACTGAAACATAAAAGCTCTGTGTAGATTTGAAACATAAGTGTGATAACTGAGTGTATGAACTGCAGTATGTGTATGTGTCTGTATATGTGTGTGTAAGACTCTGGGCTGGATGCCAAGAGCGCCAAGCAGAAGGGAAATGTTAACCCTTAATTGTAAGATGGGAGCGTGAGGTGTGCAGTATCTGAGAGAAGCGTATGAAAGCTGTGTCCAGAGTGTGAATGTGTTTGTGTTGAAGTAAGACAGAAGAGAGTGCGCCTGAGACAATAGTAAAGTTGGAATTTGCGTTGTGTTGAGAGGGGAAGATTGGTGTGTGTGGTGTCCGAGTGGAGGCTGAAAAAGAGAGAAAGAAATAAGTAAGTGTGTTGTTTGTCCGAGTCTGGAAGAGAGAAGGAGAAAGTGTGTTTGAGGAAATAGTTGTATAGAGAGTCGGATTTGTGTGGAGAGAAGTTGTCCCATAGACAGCTGAGAACAGACTGAGGCAGTAATCGATGAGTAAGCTAAGGGGGGAAGAGCCTGGGGACACAGACACAGGCTTTCTAAAAATAGTTTAGGTGCACTACAGCACAGTCCCCTCCCAGCCCCTCCTTTCAAGAGCGCCAGCAAAAGTTAAAAGTTTGAGCGTTTTTCTTTTTTTTTTTTTTTTCCTACAAACCAAAAAAACTTAAAGGGGAGCAAATAGGAAAAGACACATAACAACACATAAGAACACAAATTTACATAAAACAATTGAACTACAATCTGAAACAATGCACCCAACACCAGTAGCTCTGCTGGGAAGCAAAAATCCCATTTTGAAAGACATCCAGAAAATTTTAGAGAAATGGGAAAAACGAACCAAGGGATTAGAATACCCTTGGCCGAAGGGAGGCACGTTTGATATGGTGGCTTGTGAGAGTATGGAAACTAGAATAAGAGACTACAAACCTAAAGACAAATCAAAGAAACGTCAAGAAAAGAGAGAATTGGAATTGAAAGTTTTGAAGCTGTTCAAAGCTGAAGGTCAAAACTATAGGGCAAAGATGAGACAAGGCCTTATGAAATTAAAAAAACAACGTAGGGAAAGAGAAGGGTCAGGAAGATGAGGAGGAGGAAGAGAAAGAGCTCAAAAGGAATCTCAGAAACAGAGCACTACTTAAAAAACAGACAGATACAATGATGAGCACTATATGGCTCCATTCTTAATAAAGGGGACCCAGGGACATTATATCCCGTGGCAGACCCTCGATCTGACCGGCCTGGTCTCCAGACTCCCTGATATTAACAACAGGGCCTCAAAGTGGATCAGAGCTTTTGAGGAAGCTACCATTGGCAAATTGTTGGCTTTGGGGGATGTGAAGGTGGTGTGGGCTCAAACTCTCGGAGCCTCGGCAATGGAGAACATGCTGAGGCACAATGGGTGTGAGTGGATGATAAGTCCCATGGCTGATGGAACTGAGTTTGATGCCTATCATGGGAAACTGTGGGCAGCACTGAGGAGAGAGTACCCGACATGAGTTGACCTTAAGGCATTGCGGGGTGAACCCTTTACAGAGACTGATAATCCTGCAACATACATAAACAATCATTTGAAAAGATGGAGACAAGAGACTGAGGAAGACATCAGGCAGAGCCAGGTGTTAACGACTCTGTTCAGAGACTCAGTCACTGACGCGCTCCCCACCCCAGTCCAGAGCAGACTGAGGGACGTAGTGGGATTAACAACAATGCCGCACAGACAATTTTGTGAAAGTGTGATCCACGCAGTGGAAAGACACAGAAAGATGAGCAGAGGATGAAAGAGCAGGATAGAGACGTCCAGAGAAAACTAGCACAGCTGCAACTAAGCGAGCTGCAGAGCAAGGGCAAAGCGAACACTCAAGCGCCAATTATGGCTGAAAAAATGAACCCCACACTAACGAACACACCCACCGCACAGCCAACACAACCACTGCAACCACCCCCAGTTGTCAATGTCTACCCGCAGCCACTCACACAGCCATATCCACCGCCTGGAGCATGTTGGCAGTGTGGAGAGCTTGGCCACAGAGCAGTAGCCTGTCCACAGGCGGGCCCCGGACGGGTAGAAGGGAGGGGGGATTCGGAGCCGCTCGGAGAGGGGGGAATGGCACCAGTGGTGTCCCTGGAACCTATGATTACACCAGAAGACATTATACTAATACGAGAGGAAGCAGGTCAGGGCGAGCATAGACTATGGCTCAAGAGAGGAGCAGCACAGGACGAGAAAGGTCTTTGGAGGTCCCCTGAGGGACTTATAGTTGCACCAGTGACTCGGTTAACCATTTTGATCTGAGAAACCCACGGTGTTGCATACATTTATGTATGGACTATGTAGACATGATAAAATCTGTAACATGGCAAATGATACATGCTGGTGGTAATTGATCGCTTTAGCCAAGAACTGCAAATGGCACTGTCTGAATATATAAAACAAATAACTGCCTTCCATAGATCTATATATTAGCAGGAAAAGGTGAAAGAGCCAAAGGGCCGATCAGGAGGCCGAGAGACAGGTGGTGCCAGGCGATCAGGTGTACGTGAAGGTCTT